TTTAAAAGCCGATTAGCTTAACCCAAGGTTAAGCTAAAATTCAAAGTAAACTTCCTAATATAGCTTGTTTATAAATTTGGAAATATTCCTTTAGAAATCTTGTCTGGATCATTGGGACTTTTCTTCTCCGACGTTTTGAAATAAACAGACGTACAGAAATACATAAACTAAAGCAGCAGGTTTAATTTTAACCAAGGGTTAGCCGCTAATCCAGCTTTGGGCATCCGGCTCCTGAAGCCCAGAATTGGCCGCGCAAAATTTCAGGGCTGCCCGCGCGCAAAATGTTAATCACAATCTGATCTCGCTTGCATGCGCATTTGCAAACCTTCCGATCTGTGTCACCACGCGAAACAATGAAATGTAAACCTAGGGCATAGATTATTAAATAAGAGATGCCTACCTACGCGAAGTCTTGAACTTGGCAACCCCTCCTGAGTATATCAATTTCCAAACGTTTCTTCCTTCAGAAATGCACTTCCCTTAATCTTTGCCCAGACAATATGGTGCGTGTTTCTTCTAGAAAAAGTGGTTGTTAAATGAATGACATTTATATGAGGTCCAAGCATATAGTATTTATAGTGATTGATCTCACATGGCTATATACTTAGAAGCCTATCATAAACTGTCCAGATTAAATAGTTTGTTAACAAAGGTCAACGATAACACTTGACATTGATTTCGTTTTGAGCAAAACATTGTAACACGAGATTATCCTTACTGGAACGCTTGGGAGAACAGTTACTGATAAGAGCTATCCATGCAGTGTAAATAAAGTTAGTTTAGTTCAGCTTTCCTCATGTTGTAGCATTAGATCAATAAGAGATGATCCTTACTGGACCTCTAGGAAGAACAGTTTAGAATTGATAGAGCTATCCAGTATAAATAAAGTTAGTTTAGTTTAGGTTTCCTCCTGTAGTAACACTGAATCAATAAGAGATGATCCTTACTCTACCTCTAGGAAGAGCAGTTTAGAACTGATAGAGCTATCCAGTATAAATAAAGTTAGTTTAGTTCAGGTTTCCTCCTGTAGTAACACTGAATCAATAAGAGATGATCCTTGTACTGGACCTCTACCAGTGTAAATAAAGTTAGTTTAGTTCAGCTTTCCTCCTGTAGTAGCATTAGATCAATAAGAGATGATCCTTACTGGACCTCTAGGAAGAACAGTTTAGAACTGATAGAGCTATCCAGTATAAATAAAGTTAGTTCAGTTCAGCTTTCCTCCTGTAGTAACACCGGATCAATAAGAGATGATCCTTACTACCTAGAACTGATATAGAGGTACTACTGCAGTACCCAGTATAAATAAAGTCCGAACTTAAACAAGTTTAACTCAAATATATATTGAAGTAATCTTACATCTATCCTTTATCAGCCTCAGAATTAACTTGTTTTTGAACTCATCCCAAATTTTGCCTTCAGCAACAGATTGTACAATTTAGTTCAGCGATAACGTGACACGTTTGTCTCCGTACAGGAAATACGTAAATAGGGACATGAAATTTCTGACAGTGCTATAAGACAGAACAAATTGCGTCAAAGCTTTATATCGTTAAAGTGCCCCTGTCACAAAATGAGAGTTTACATCATTAGAATCGTCTTGAAACGTAGATTATGAAAATACAAAACAGATTTAAAATTGAGCTTGTTTTCACAGAGTAATAAGGCAATGAAATTTGAAAATTTCAAATTTTAACGGCAAAAGTTTTTGAAAACCGCGAAGCTGGAAAATTGGTAACTAATACGTCATAGTAGGAAGACATTGCCTTCTCGCCTAAGTGAAAAGCATATAAATACTAAGTGAGAATCACAATCAAGCTGGTCAAAATTCGATACAAATGTCTTCGTTGAGTTCAGATACGGAAAATAACAGTTACCAAAGCGATGACTGCCTGAAATTATATTCCTGGGCCGTATCAAATCGAGTGAAATCGATGAAAACACCAGCGAAGCGTGGTCAACGTCGTGCGCACAAATGATCGGCGCTGCTTGATCCATATGTTACATGCAATGAACCATGCAGTGACTGACGAAGATGGCTCAAAAGTTACCGCCAAAAAAGCAATCACAACGAACGTCTTAAGCAATTACAACAAAGGCTTGATAGTTCAGAAGAATTGAGTAAATGGTAAATATTTCACGGCTCTGATTTTGTTGCGTGACTTGACCTTGTGTTGTAAATTACACACTATACAGTAATATTTCATGTGTAAACCTGGCATTTGTCGCATTGAACTGCTTCGTAAATTATGCTAAAGAGTGTCAATGTTGTATGGAAATTGAGGAGTGCGTCGATTCTCTACACAGTGACATTGTGATTTGTGATGCAAGAAGCTGAAGTCGCGCCATCATGTATATAAATTCAACAGCTATGGCTAGATAAGTGAGCTCTCCGTTCAGCAGCCACGAAATTACGAACAACAAAGAAACAGGAATACCGTCAAACAAGCACAGAAGATAGGTAAATAAAGTTTTATTTATCAAAATATTGAAATTAAGAAACACTTTACCGTACCCGAGTTTACTATCAGTGAACACACGCATGCGGTACGGTAACTGAGAGTTTATACACGGTACATATTGTACAATTTATTGAATTATTATATATTTACATGTGTTCACATGCAAGTATTAATTTAAAGCGACTTATTAAAAATACTTATTTATTAATTTATAGATTCTGAAGGAGCACAGTATATACCTCTAGAAACTTTGTGTGGATGGTTTATGGACAACTAGGAAATAGACATTTTTGCGCATATCATATGAGAAAATAATGCCTGCTGTTGATGAAGACTTTGTAGGATTTGTAGAGAACAGCTCTTGATATTATATAACTATTTTTCAATAAATAAACCTATTACACTGTATAAACGTACGTGGTAATATTATACTGTATTGCGCATAGAAACAGCACATTTGCTATATTCATGACTGCAATATTGTTTTGCCAAAGAGACTGAAATTTGAGATTAAGATTTGTATCTGATGTTTTTCTGCACTTCGTGCGCGCGGGTTAATTTGTACAAAGTGTTGCAGCATGTTTAAGAATTTTTCTGACTTGTTTTCGTTCCAGGCACTATAGCAAATGTGGCAATGACTAAGTTATTTCATTAAGTTGCTTCAATGGATTATACTTTGTAATACATTTTCTATACACCCCCGCAGTGTATCTGGTTTCATGCCACAATTTGTTACAAAATCTGCATATTGTACGGGTTTTCACTGCGGTGCAAACACAACGAGTGTATATATGTATAATTTACTGCGTCAAGTTTACTTATACGTACAATTCTACTTTCCCTGTCTAAACTAAAATACAAACAGTGCACATTGCTTGTAGACGTAAGAAATTAGCTTTCATCAGCTATATTTTGACCATATTCACTCATAGTCATAGCTATATTGTCGCGATATTTTATATTTCTGGTGAATCCATTGGCTGTGGCTCATTTATATTTATCGCGCTTTCCAGTTTCGTGACTATGACCATATCGGTTGACTGCATCGAAGCAGCTTCTAAATACAACCCATTCAAATAACGAATTTGGAATAAAAATTGCACTAGGCCATATTCAAGTGCATGATAAACGAAATTAGAGTATAAATTATACATATACCATTCTCTTGACTCTCGCAGACAAAGGTTTGTCGTCGACAGTATTTGTATATTTTGGAATTGCAACGAAACCAATTTCGTCGGTAGCTAACCGTGGTTTTACCAGCAAGCTCTATCTTCGCAAAGTACGCTGAACATTGGATCTCATATTGCTGGTTTAAGGTGCACGAAGTCAATCCCTGTCCTTTTCGCTTCGTGCATCTCGCCTCCAGTAAAAGGTATAAAGTGAAATGCCTTACTCTGTATCCGTGACATTAGAACAACCGCCTACTATACATATATTCTGCAATTTTTCAGTTTCGTGACTTTTATTTGCGCTATTGCCTCCTCTATGATAGTACATGCAATAGTATTTCTATATTAGTGAGCTACATAAGTTCCTACTATTACGTCACACGCATTGTTTCGTCCCAGTCCCTTTTGCGCGGTTTTCAGATTTTTCACAAGGCCAAATTCAATGTTTAAACGGCAATAACTTTTACACTAAAAAAGCAATTTCAATTCCGTTTTCGAATTTCCGTATATTTTGTATCATAGATTTCGAAAATATAAACTCTCATTTTGTGACAGGGACACTTTAATAGAATAGATGGTTTTGAAACTCATCCAGTCAAGTCAACGTTTATTCATAAATCTGGTCGTTCACCGTCACGTGTGTATTGTATTTTTGCCCAACTATTAACTATGCAATGTCGTAGGAGTTACCTATCCGTGACTCGAACAAATTGCTATTGGTGGATTTAAAATACAATACACATGTGAGGGTCAACGACCAGATTTATGAATAAACGTTGACTAACATAGACAATGAGTTATATTGTTATTCTAATGAGTTTCCAAACCATCTATTCTATTACTGTAACTATGATATAACGAAGAAAATTCAATTGAGTTGACCTGAGTCAACCTACGCTCACACGGCCTAGTATCGCATTAACAAACTTCCGGCGTTGGCGTAGGAACGAACTTGAGACAAAAATAAGTTAATTTCAACCTTCCTTTTTCCCCTACAATTAACTTGGAATTATTTGATGTAGTGGGCTTGATTACTTCTTGTAGTCATTGTTTTTCAGTGAGAGTGTTCAAATGTTTCTATTTATATATTTTTGAATTTCGATGTTCTTCACGGTCTTTCGAGGAATGTTACATATGGGGAGGAAGTTGAAATTCATTGAAATGCAAATCACGGAATCGAAGCCGATTAAAACCTACATCGGAACTAATAGTTGACATTAATACTGACATTGATTAACACTACCATAATACCACCGAATAATACAATTCCTGGTATTGGCTATAGTCATAGAAATCTATGGGCATAGTGCCATAGAGATTAATTTCTAGTACAGTGTACATCGATATCGGAACGGTTCGAACAAACATGTCGTATTTAGCAGCTCCTATTAACAAGACTGAATTACAAGACCTTCATGGGTCTCATGTAGACGGCCAGGGCGAAAATTCAACTCAAACCGCGACAACTGGAGTGTTCTTAGATCAAAACGAAGCCGAATTTTTCGATGCAGTCAAAAGTGGCGACATTGACTTGGTCAAAAGCAAACTTGATGACACCAACAATCCCGTGAATATAAATGCCACAAATTGTAATGGCGAAACTGCGTTGCAGATTGCGGCCGAGAATAGAAACTTTGATCTAATGAAAGAGCTTTTGACTAAAGAGGCGGACTTGAAGAATGCTTTATTGCAATGCGTTATTGAAAACGACTTAGAATGTGTCAAAGTATTGGTCAAAAACAAAACCGTACCAGTTGAAATTTCAGACATTGAAATGCCGAGAGGTAGTTATAACATTACACCAACTAGTCTGGCTGCTCAATTGGGCCACCATGATATAGTGGATTTTCTGATTCAGAATAAATGTGTGATTAAAGAGCCGCACGGTTGTGAATGCACTTTGCCTTGCAAAGAAAAGTGCGATGATAAATCAGATATGCTTCGATCACAAATTGCAATAAATCGCTTCAGGGGTCTTTCGAGCCCTGTTTATATGTGTTTGAGGTAAGTGCAATCACTTTGAACGGTCTAGGTAGTGCCAATTAATAAGAAAGCTAGGGATACTGGTCTTCTACGACAAAGAGCCTTCCCTTGAAACGTCGAAGTTCTCCTTGTATTTTTCAGGTAGTTGTATCCATGTCAATCCGAAGCTTTCTTCATTAGTTTAATGACTATCGTTCCGCTTCAGTGGCCAGCGTATGTGTCGTAGGTGACAATAACACCAGAAAGCCAGCTGGGATTTTGGCTGGGATTGAGAAGGATTCGACTGCAGATTTCTTACATTGTTGATAGCCTGAATTTTAGACGGTCACTCGATATCGTCGAGATGACCTCGAGTAACCGTCTTGAAATTCATGCTATGTGGGGTAGCTATAATATTGGCTTAATTATGTTGATCACAAGATTTTACCCAGACTTTTCATGCAACGAATCGTTGACAACAGTTTGAGCGTACCTTTACCAATCAGTGTAATCACAGTACAGACTACAGACCTGACATTGCAAGCATTAGATGCACTTCGTTGGGAAAGTATTTTAATAAGTATATTTATTAAAAAATAGACATCTTAACTGAAGGGCACTCGGAGATTACATACTTCCGCAGGCGAATTAATTAAATTAAGTTACGTATCATGCATAAATTATCAAAGACTTTTGATAATTTCTAGAACCCTGAATCCCACTCGAGAGACAACGCATTTTTTGTTCAGATTTAACATGGAATACAGCTTTTCACGTCGTTCAGGATACTTCTGTGAGTCAGACCACTCAGAGGTCAAACAAGGATGACATTTTATATACCACTCTAGAGTCTAGATCTCGCTCTGACTCTTCCACAGTCCCCCTAACGGCATCAACTATTTCGCTGACCTCAGAATGACATTTCGTCAAAACTTTTTTCTTCAAGATTGGTTTAGAAACAAATTTGGAGTAGGGTTCGGTTAGATTAGGGTTAGGATTAGAGTTGGTGTTTGGAGTAGGGTTAGTGTTAGTAAAACCGTTGCTTTGTTACGTTTTGTCACTCCGAGGCCAGCGAAATAATTTCTTCCGTCCCTAACGTTGTTTATTCATGCAACGATTCATGGGAATGCGATGAAAATTGAGTGTAACGCAAAGGACCATGGGAATGCCCCGAGGCGTTCATTCGGCGCGCGTTGGGTAAGCGACTGGGTACGAGTCAGACTCTCGCTCGCATTTGACTGCAGGTTCGAATCCTGTCAAGGACTTGTAGCTGCATTTTTCGCAGCTATTCCTGGTTAGGTGTAAAGGCCCGTTTCCACTCAAGAAAAATTTCCACGGACAGAAAATTTTCCGAAAATATCATTGTTAAAAGTTGAAAATTTTCAACTTCAAAATGTTTTTCCGACGGAAAATGGACCATTCCCAATTAACCAAAATTTTGAACTCAACAAGTCTAGACAAAAATTTCATCACAGCTGCTTGAAAGGGCATCACAAAATTAGTAATATTCCAAAGATTCGTTGCGAAGTGTTGTAAAATGCGGATAATATAGCCTTGCGAACTTTGCAATTTTCAGTCATTTTAGATTACAAACGGGAAATGGTTACCACTTTTCCAAAATTTTGATCTTAACTAGCCTAAACAAAAATTTCATCACAGCTTGAAAGAGCATCACAAAATTAGTAATATTCCAATGTTTCGTTGCAAAATGTTTTAAAATGCGGATAATATAGCCTTGCAAAGTTTGTAATTTTTAGTCATTTTCTATTACGCACGGAAGTGGTAACCATTTCCCGTTTGTAATCTAAAATGACTGAAAATTGCAAACTTCGCAAGGCCATATTATCCGCATTTTACAACATTTTGCAACGAAACATTGGAATATTACTAACTTTGTGATGCTCTTTCAAGCTGGGATGAAATTTTTGTTCAGGCTAGTTAAGATCAAAATTCTGGTTAACTGGGGAATGGTCCATTAATATGGAATAATCGTTTATATGTCTGAGTATAATATTGTAAACGTCAGCTGTATTTCAAGACCACTGCATCAACTGACTGCTTTATGCTTAATCTTAAAGGTACTTAAACACAGAGGGAAGCAATGTCGATCCGTTGACTCAGGCTTTTGATCTGAATACGAAACTAGAAAAGCGAGCTTCGGACGAGCCAGAATTGAAGAAAGAATATCTTAAAATTTCCGAAAGATGCAAAAAATTCGCGACAGATTTATACAATGGTTGTCAAAGCATGGACGAAATTACCGCGCTTTTGGACATCGCTAGTGAAAAACAGTCCAATTCGAGTTGTGAATCTTGCGCTAGTGAAAAACAGTCCAATTCGAGTTGTTTGCCTTGCGCTAGTGAAAAACAGTCCAATTCGAGTTGTTTGCCTTGTGGCAAGAAAGTGGTAAAGAAATTGAGGAAAGCAATCAAGAGTGATCATAAAGAGGTTGGTCGAGGCTAATTAATATTAAGGATTGAGGTCGTTGGATGATGGTCGAGTAATACTTTAAAATTAAATCGCGCTTTAATTAAAACAATCTTTCTTGCTTCGCTCACCCTTAGGAAGCATCGGGCTATAGGAAACAATATGTTTCCAACTTCTGGAAACATGGCTATGGCAAAACAATGTTCCCTGGTTTGTCCAGCTTTTGGAAGCATGGCCAGGGAACAAAGTTTCCTGGTTTGTCCAACTTTTGGAAACATGGTTTGGAAGACAATATTCCTCCAATGTTTCCTAGTTTTTTCGACCTTTGGAAAACATGGCTAGTAAACATTGTTTTGCCCACCTTTGGCAAACATGGCTAGGAAATAATAATGGCGCTTCCCAATATGGCATCGGCCTTACAATTATCATTTAGGAAAGCTAGGAAGAAAATTCAAAACAATGCTTCTGTAACAATATATCGGGGCTAAACTATATTTTTTCTTTAGTTTGTAGCACATCCGCACACCCAGCAACTCCTAAACGTCGTAGTCTACTCCGACGTGCCCAAGAAGATCCACAGAAGATCATTCTTTTCCAACATCCTCCTATTTATCCTCTACACCATCATATTCCCTCTCCTGGTGTTATTGTATCTCGCGAGTCGAGACAATTGGGTATCAGAAATGATGAAAACTCCCTATTTTAAATTCATCAGTCATCTTTCGCAGTTCATTGTATTTCTGATCTTGATTGCTGCCTCAGCGCTCCGAGATAGTCATACTCCGTCAGGCTTAGGTAAGAACATTGCCTGAAGATGCCTTTTACCTGCTTCAAGTTCTGAAAAGATTGGCCAGCTGCTCGGATTCTTTTCTTTCATCTTTTTTCATCCCACGCCAACCGTCAGTTCCTTGATATTTAGATCTACTTAGACCTTGTTATTTAGCAAGAAAGTCGGTTACAGAGGTTTCCATCTTCGTAACACCTGTGACCGACTTTCTTTTATTTCTTCTTGCTATCTCTGCAATGTCTACCACTCCACATTTTCTCCCGATCTCAAATTATCGTCTTCGGTCTCCCCAGTTCCTCTCCATCTCCATATCTCCATCTCCATCTTTCTTTCACCTCTTCTTTATATATCACCCTAGCCTCCTTCATCTTCTCTACAATGTCTACCACTCCACATTTTCTTCTGACCTCTGCACTCCATATTATCCTTACATATCGTCTTCTGTCTCCCCAGTTCCTCTCTCTATCTCTATAATGTCTGTGATCGACTTTCTTTCAATACTATCTCAGCCTTGCCTGCATCCTCTTCTTTGCAATGTCCATCACCTCACATCTTCTTTTGATCTGATTGGCTCCCCTTTATCTCTTCTTAATACGTGTCCATACCACCTCAGCCTTGCCTCCTTCATTTTTTCCGTAATGTCTACCACCCAACAAGTTTTCAGATTTTTTACATTGCATAATGTCTCTGACAGTCTCCCCTCCATCTCTTATTACGTGTTCATACAATCTCAGCCTTGCTTCCCTCACCTTCTCAGTAATGTCTACCACGCCATATCTTCGTTTGATCTCATTACTCCATCATGTGTCTGACCAGCTCGTGACGTCGCAATGTCTATCCAGACGAACTTATTGTACTATGATAGCTCGATCTATACTGACAATGTTTCTTGCAACAAATCATACCTGGTATTTTCCAAATTGTGCGTCCAATGTCAAGCCTTAACGGTTGATATGTCTGTTTGGTGCATTTATACCAGATAAACTATTTCTTATTTTTCGAAATCCGTCCAAATGGATCTGCCGAGTTTAAATCAGACCACTGAACGTTTTCAACCTCACTTTTCAGAATATCTGATAATCATCACAGTTGTTGGCATGATTGTTCAAGAGGTCAAAGAAATGTTCAATCATACACCGCGGATTAGTTATTTCTTTAAATGGTGGAACATTGTCACAACAATAATGTTAACACTGTTTGTTCTGGCTACCCTCTCCTGGATAGTAGGCTTTGCTATTACAGGAGGGTGGTCAGTGGTGAATTATTCTCTGTCTCAATTTGCCGAGTCCAAAGATGGCTATCAACTCCTGTTGCTGGGCAACAGCTTCTTCTCATTGGCTATCGTCGTCAGCATTTTTCATTTGGTCGACATGTGTCAGGTAAAGTCACAACCATTTGTTTTGTTCAACTTTGCCAAACAACTTTTTCGCAACAATATTTGCCAGTTTTTACTTCGGGAAAGAGACAACTACGAAACGATGCTTCCTGGTTTGCCCACTTTTGGGAGTCATGGCTAGGAAACAGTATTTCCTGGTTTTGCCAACTTTTGGGAAATATGAATAGAAAACAATGCTTCCTGCGTTGCCCAATTTTTGTGAATCATGGCCAGGAAACAATATTTCCTGGTTTTGCCCACCTTTGATAAAAATGGCTAGGAAACAATGCTTCCTGGTTTGCCCACCTTTGAGAACATCATGGGTAGGAAACAATGTTTCCTGGTTTGCTCACTTTTGGAAAATATGACTAGGAAATAATCAGCAACAATACAGTTTGCTCTGCGTCTTCGTAAATCAAATCTATTTTGTTTCTTTATAAATTCTAGGTCAATTCCGTCCTTGGTCCATTGCAACTCTCGCTATATCGTATGCTTCAAGACGTTTTAAAATTCCTTCTCTTTTTTGCCGCCATTTTTGTGGCATTTGTGATGGGAGTACGTAATCTCTACTCGTACTATAATAGTATCCAGGCGGAGATTGCCGAGCACAGCAACAAGAATAACAGTATGATGGCAGAGACTAACCATCCATTTTCCACGTAAGTTTAGGCAGATTCTACCAAACAATTCAGAGTTTTTTTCGTGCACTAACAGTCTAACACCAATGGACCATTGATGAATAGCCCTTACTGGACCTCTAGGAAGAATAGGTTAGAACTGATAGATCAGACCTATCCAGTATAAACTGATAAACTTAGTTTATATTTCCTCCTGTAGCAACCGTTTACAACAGATACAGCCATCCAGTATATCTAGTAAAGTTAGTTAATTTCGGCTTTCCTCCAGTAGTAACACTTGACTTCTAGGGAGAACAGTTTAGTTTGATAGCTTGATAGTTTGATAGTTTATTTGACACTAAAACTTACAGCTCCAGAATATAACTAATTCCACTACTGAAATATGTTAGGTTTACAAGGATATTAAAACTAATTTTACATGTATTTTGTTTAAGAAAACGAATAAGATTAGACTAAAATACTTAAAAATACACATTCACATATACATATACTGTATGCGCAGACTTATAATTTGTTACTAAAACACTCACTAATGCTAATTTAGATTAGGTTAAAAAACCAGCATATTCGCGGTAAACTGATAGAGCTAGTTGAAAGTGAAAGTGAAGTTTAAATGAGATACATTCCGTCAATTTTATTTCATTTTTTAGATTTTCTCAATCAGTTCAAAGCATGTTCTGGGCTCTCTTTGACAAAATTGACTTGGAAGAATTTGACACGAAAGATAGAACGTTTGAAATCACACAGGAAACTGGGAAGGTTTTATTCGCATTTTACTCAATTTGTGCTATCATGGTCGCGCTCAATATGCTTATTGCAATGATGAGTCATTCGTATGAGTATATTTCGGTAAGAAAAACTGACTTAATTTATACTGGATAAAGTTCCAAATTGTTTTCGTTCACTACAGGAAAAGACCTAAACTAAACTGATTTTATTTATAGTGGATAACTCCATCAGTTCTAAAACCATCTTCTTGGAGATTCAATAAGGGTCATAACTTAACTAAATAAATGCTTGATTTTCTTTATATTGGACCCCTAGAGTCACCCCTCATTGTTTTGGGAAAACTGAAGACACTCTTCTCGCATTCATGCAGTGGTGATATAATCAAACAGTTGCATTTTGCAGGAGTTGGACCCAGAGAAGCCGACGATCAGGCTTTTTATTGGGGCGGGGAGTTCTTCAATTTCCCGAAGAGCCTTGTCGCAGGCTGGGCAGGGAGACAAAAGGCATTATTATATATCAATAGTCAAAGTCGCATTTTTCTAGTGTTTTATTGGTTGAGAGCATATCACGTGAGAGTGACGAAATTAGGCTGTCTCCCTCGCAACAGCGCGAGAGGGAGATAATACGTTATCGACCGGCAAATAACAAAAAAAATCACGTGCGCCATCACGTGAAGATGCGACTTTTGGACATGCCTCCTAGTACGTAATTAAAACTTTCGCTTTAAGTAACTGCAGTGTAGCCAGTGTTTAATATAACGTTTTAACAATAAAATATTTCATGTATTTACGTTCATTTGTTCTTTAATTTGTTGTTTCTTTGACTATTGATATATAATAAAACACTTATTTACTGAGACCGAGGGAAGCAGTGTGTTTTGTGGACCCTCGACCGTCGATGTGTATTTTTTCTATTTGTAGCAAGATGACGATATTCAATGGAAATACAGTCGCACTCAACTATGGTTAGAATTTGTTGAAAAAGGAAGCGTCCTGCCAGCACCTTACAATCTCCTGCCCAATCCATGGGAAATTTATGACTTTTTTAAAACGGTGCGTCGAGTCATATAGTAAATATAACACGTTACAAATAAGCCTAGGGCCAATGGAAGACGATGAGACCTTGTCTTCTAGCCATGCTTTCCAAAGATGGGCAAAACAAACTTTAACAAAGAAACATTGTTTCCTATCCATGTTTCCCAAAGGTGGACAAACCAGGAAACAGTGTTTCCTATAGCCATGTTTCCCAAAAGTAGGCAAACCAGAAGAGTGTTTCCTAGCCATTCCCAAAGGTTGGCAAACCAGAAAACATTGTTTCAATGTTTCCTATCCATATTTCCCAAAGGTGGACAAACCTGGAAACATTGTGTCCAAACTGTGTTTTCTGAAGGAGGGCAAACATGGAAACATTTGTCAGCAACATTTTCCGGCAGAGTAACTTAGATCTGACTTAGTTACAATAAATACTGCATGCATGGCTGTGGAATATCCAGACAAGCAGGTTGAAAGTTAAAAACTAATAAAACAATGTCCTTTTCAGCTTAAACCAATGAGAGATCTAGATGAACCTTCCCGAACAGATGAAAGGAAACGTTGGAAGGAAGAGATGGAAGCAAAGGTATGGTTCCTTTCTTTTTCCGAACGCCACCTCCCTTGATGAGTAAAATCGTCTGGCATTAGACAGAGTGAAATAAACGGACATAGTACTATAGTGCGGTGCATGCCCTGGAGCACGCGCAAAACATACACAAGACATATGCTGTATGATTCCGAACAAACAAACAGAAGAAGAAGAATTTTATTCGTAATACATTTGTTGGTTCGATTCCCACCGTGGCCAAGCATATTTTTCAAGCCTGCCCGGTGTGGATATACACTCAGAGTAACATCACACAAGCATCTTATTCACCTGAGTACATTACATCAACACAGCAAAATACATACAACACATTATTAAGACAAAGTTAGCAGGGGGTCTCTGAAGTAGCTTTAACGCTAATCGAAGTCAGATAACCGATAAAAGTATTCGAGCCACTGTGGATCAACATTAAGTGTTCCGTCTGATGATCTGCACTGGAATCGCAGGGCCGTAGGTTCAATTCCTACCACGAGGACCTGTGCTGCATTTTTCGCAGTCGTTCTTGGTCAGGTCTTAAAGTGTATATATACTCACTTGGATTACTAACCCTAAAAACAGCATTCTAGTAAAGCGAAGCCTAACCTCGTTTGGGCACCGCAATCTGGCGTTTGACAAGATGTGTGTTTAACATTTTAGAGAAAAACGATCATCAATCGTCTGGTACGCCGTTACTTTCGCACTGAGGAATCTCAAAGAAAGAAAGAATTGGGCACTTTAAAAGACATCGAAGAATGTAAACATGAAATCGTCAAAATTTTGAAAGAAAACCAGGCAGCGAATGCTAAACTTTGAAGAAGCTATGCTGAATGGACAACGAAAGAAAATGCCAAAGGGCAAAATTGTTAACCTCTTTAAAAAAGAATTCTCCGGCGACTCTGCTCATGTGTGGTTAAATGAAGTTAAGGAAATCAGAAATTGATGTTTTTTATTATTATTATTATTATTTAAAAATATTTAAAAACGGTAGTCCTTCAGGGCACATAGGCACCTGCTTTTCAAGGCACCTGCTTGAGGTTTTTGTGATATGCGGAATTATCAAGGTCGAGGTAAGCGTTATCAGCCTCGCCTTCGGCTCGGCTGATAACGCTTACCTCGACCTTGATAATTTTGCATATCGCAAAAACCGAATTCAGTAATTGTTTTATTATACATTTGAAGAATAATAAACATAGTATTTTAAATAATAAAACAATTATTGAATTCGGTTTTTGCGATATGCAAAATTATCAAGGTCTACCAACTACAATGTATAATAATTAATATTTTTTGTATATAATTAATAATTCTATACGTATAATTAAAAAACTCATTAATAATTCATGAAGAAAACACAAAGAAAAATCATAAGCGTATCGTATCTGTATATGTGATACAGATTCATGTTGATTTACATAAATTTTAACTTTGATTTTCTCGGCTTTGACAACGTTTATTTTTAAAATTACTTCGCCAATGAATTCATAAGCTGAGTCGTTTTTTAAGTTGTTTACAACATTCGCGTCCGTGTTGTATCAGATATACAAATTCTCGCCTTCGGCTCGAGTTTGTATATCTGATACAACACGGCCGCTCATGTTGTAAACATTACTTGTGAAATCATGAGCGTGAAGGAGTTTGTACATCTGATAGAAAATCATGCTGATTCACTACATAAGCTTTTAAACATAGTCGTACGGGGTTGATGCTTTCCAGGGTGCAGTTGAAAGTTTGCCCGAATTTTATGGAGGATTGTAATGAAATTACCTGAATTTAACCTATTTTCTGATAAATCTGCCCGAATTTTCTTGATTTTTCCTAGCATTTGCCCGAATTTCCATGGTTTTCCAAATTGTTTTTTTTTGGGGGGGGTCTGTCCCCGTCTCGTACGCCTATACTTTTAAAGTTTAATTTTCTCACCAAATATCATTCATTTATTCTAAATTCGGTTCAAGAATACGAATGTCCTCATCGAGACGTTTCACAAGCTATATAAAGCATACTGTATGCGCTTAATCGGCTAAATTATTCAGTATTCCGCAAAGCAGATTAAGGTGTGAAACTCAGGCGTAAAACTCCGATTACCTACCGTTAAATTTTAATAATCGAAAGCGAAATATCGATAAAATAAATTTTAAGCCAAGAGAGCAGAATGCAAGATGAAAGTAAGGACTTAGGATATATGAGGCGTGATATCCGCCAAATATGTTTATTTGAGCCAGTGGATTGTAGGCTAGTGGATTGCGGCATGTCGGATATGTCAATAACCTGATCTGCCAATAAAGGCGAAAACATCGCCCAACGTGTGTGCGTGGAACGCATATTATATAACAATACTGCCGAGAAGATTATACGTAATAGACGTCGCTATGGCCTTATCCGAAGCGGTTACCTGACCTTAATATTGAGTTTGTATTTTTTTGTGACTTTTTAACCCTCGACTTTTTACCCTCGACTTTTTACCCTCGACTTTTAACCTTCGACTTTTTACCCTCGACATTTAACCCTCGACACTAGACACTAGACACTCGACCAATAGATAAACTCGTGGTATAGCACTAATTATACAATTATTTTAGAATTGATAACACTATCCAGTATGAATAAAGGGTCCTACTAAAGAATGCCCGGGAATTCTTTAGTAGGACCCCTCTGACACTGTTTTAGTTTTTAGTTTTTATTTTAACAGCTTTATTGAACGATGTTCAAACGGCAAGAGTGCGAACAGGACTCAAGACCCATGCGAGGCACTCTCCCTCTTGAATTTTGTTTAATCTAATATCATTATTTACAACAATATTATAAATTGGTAAACATATACCAGCTGATTAATATCAAATATAACGAAAAATTCTTCGTTAACGTCGGTAGTGGTCACACAAATGAATTTGCATACATTGCTTTTTGTCGTCAAGGGGTGAGCGCTGGCGCTATATCTATGGGTTAATACCAAGTTGATTGCACCCCAATGCGCCCTACTTTATTATTTCACCATGTCTACCGCCAGACGATTTTGACGTTGTTTTTGTCTTGATGGATGATCCGTCGTACGGATTTACGTCAACTAGTAAACGAACATTTGACTGTTTTTTTTTGTGTATAACTTGTGTGTTGTCAATAAAAATTTTTATACATGATGTATTCGCACTAATTTCTTATCACGTCTGTAAATATCAACAACGAATTCAAAGAATTCGTTGTCTTGAGCGGAACTCGAAAGAACAGCTTCGCCAATGCTTTTAATTTCCGGCATTGAGTGCTTGTGGCGCGCATGCATTCTATGCGTATTTTTGGGCTGCTATGCTTCTGCCCACCAACAGTACTCAAATTTAGGGCTATAATTTCTAAACAGCACAGCCAACAGTAGAGAAATTAGCCTGAGTATCAGGCTTTATCAGGAAAAACAGTACGAATGAACCTATGGGACAATGAAACCGGATCTGATTTGCGGTGTCAAGTTTCAGTAAGCAGATGGTGAATCATGTGGTGGGTTTAACTACTTCTTGTAGTCATTGTTTTTCTGAGAATCTGTTCTACGAGATCTTTCCGATGGTATTGGTGGGAGGAAGTCGAAATTCATTGAAATGCAAATGAATCGAAGTGATTAAGACCAATTTGGAAGTCGGAACTTTGAACACCATAATAACACCACTGAATAATACACTTTTCTGGTTTCTATTACGAACAAATATGGCAAATATGTCGTACTTAGAACCTCCTTGTACCAAGATTGGATTGCAAGACCTTCGCGAGTCTCGTGTAGACGGCCCGGGCAAAAATTCAATTCAAACCGAAGATCAAAACGGAACCGAATTTTTCGATGCAGCCAAAAGAGGCGACATTGACTTGGTCAAAAGCAAACTTGATGACACCAACAATCCCGTGAATATAAATGCCATAAATCGTAATGGCGAAACTGCGTTGCAGATTGCGGCCGAGAACAGAAACTTTGATCTAATGAAAGCGCTTTTGGCTAAAGAGGCGGACTTGAAGAATGCTTTATTGCAATGCATTGTCGAAAACGACCTGGAATGTGTCGAAGTACTGCTCGAAAACAAAACCGTACCAGACAATGAAATTTCGAAAGATAGTTACATTACACCAACTAGTCTGGCCGCTCAATTGGGCCACTATGAGATAGTGCAGTTTCTGATTCAGAAAAAGTTTCGAATTCAAAAGCCGGATCCTTGTGAATGCGCTGGCAAAGAAGAATGTGAATCAGAATCAGATATGCTTCGATCACAAATTGCAATAAATCGCTTCAGAGGTCTTTCAAGCCCTGTTTATATGTGTTTGAGGTAAGTCCGTAAGTGCAATCACTTTGAACGGTGTAGGTAGTGCCAATTAATAAGAAAGTTACGGATTGCCGACAGGGATACTGGTCTTCTCCGACGAAGGGCCTTCGCTTGAAACGTCGAAGTTCTCCTTGTATTTTCCAGGTAGTTGCATGTATCCTTATCAATCCGAAGCTTTCTTAATTAGTTTAAGTATAGAAGAAGATGAAGATGTTGTATTGTAAACAACGAAGCGTTAGCTAATAATTTTTTACTTTTGTCAGTATGTTTGGTTTTAAAGTTATTTGCTGGGCTCTGCTTTTTATCTTTAAACTAGTTTAAGTATAGGTTACTGATTTTGAGGCAACGAGGGGATATGTGATGTCTTCGTGATGTTTTTTCAGCTCATTTTTTGTGCTGCAAAGACATCACAGGTGAATATTACTAGAGGGGATTATTAGAGGGAAATTGATTGGAGGGGAATATTCCCCGATAAGAACAAAGGAAACCGAGCAATGTGACAAATAATGAGTATCGTTCCGCTTCAGGGGCCAGCGTAGGTGACAATAACACCAGGAAGTCAGCTGGGATTTTGGCTGGGATTGAGAAGGATTCGACTGCAGCTTTCTAACATTGTTGGCAGCCTGAATTTTAGACGGTCACTCGATATCGTCGAGATGATCTCGAGTAACCGTCTTGAAATTCATGCTACAATGTTGCCTGTCTTTGTTTGAACACCATATGTTGGGTATAACTAATATTGGCTTAATTATAACTAATATTGACTTTACCCAGACTTTTCATCCAACGAATCGTTGAACAACATCATTCAATGGTTTGAACGTACCTTTACCAATCAGTGTAATCACAGTACAGACTACAGACCTGACATTGCAAGCATTAGATGAACTTCGTTGGGAAAGTATTTTAAGTATATTTATTAAAAAATAGACCTATTAACTATCAAGGGCACTCAGAGATAACATACTTCCGCAGGCGAATTAATTAAATTACGTATCATGCATAAATTATCAAAGACTTTTGATAATTTCTAGAACCCTGAATCCCACTCGAGAGACAACGCATTTTTTGTTCAGATTTAACATGAAATACAGCTTTTCACGTCGTTCAGGATACTTCTGTGAGTCAGACCACTCAGTGACAAACAAGGATGACAGTTTATATACCACTCTAGATTCCAGATCTCGCTCTGACTCTTCCACAGTCCCTAACATTGCTTATTCATGCTATGATTCATGGGAATGCGATGAAAATTGAGTATAACGCAAAGGACCATGGGAATGCCCCAAGGCGTTCATTCAGCGCGCGTTGGGAAAGTGACTGGGGACGAGTCAGACTCTCGCTCGCATTTGATCGCAGATTCGATTCCTGCGAATGACTTGTAGTTGCATTTTTCGCAGCTGTTCCTGGTTAGGTGTAATAAATGTACATAAATTTCCATTCACTAATTTCCATCTACAAGGCCCTTCAATTAATATGGAATAGTCGTTAATATGTCTGAGTATGATATTGTAAACGTCAGCTGTATTTCAAGACCACTGCATCAACTTAAAAATGACTGCTTTGAGCTTAATCACCCCTTAATCTTAAGGTACTTAAAGACAGAGGGAAGCAATGACGATGGCAATGACGATGGCAATGGCGATGGCAATGACGATCCGTTGACTCAGGCTTTTGATCTGAATATGGAACTAGAAAAGCGAGCTTCGGACGAGCCAGAATTGAAGAAAGAATATCTTAAAATTTCCGAAAGATGCAAGAAATTCGCGACAGATTTATACAATGGTTGTCAAAGCATGGACGAAATTACCGCGCTTTTGGACATCGCTAGTGAAAAACAGTCCAATTCGAGTTGCGAACCTTGCGCTAGTGAAAAACAGTCCAATTCGAGTTGTTTGCCTTGCGCTAGTGAAAAACAGTCCAATTCGAGTTGTTTGCCTTGCGCTAGTGAAAAACAGTCCAATTCGAGTTGCGAGCCTTGTGGCAAGAAAGTGGTAAAGAAATTGAGGAAAGCAATCAAGAGTGATCATAAAGAGGTTGGTCGAGGCTAATTAATATTAAGGATTGAGGTCGTTGGATGATGGTCGAGTAATACTTTAAAATTAAATCGCGCTTTAATTAAAACAATCTTTCTTGCTTCGCTCACCCTTAGGAAGCATCGGGCTATAGGAAACAATATGTTTCCAACTTCTGGAAACATGGCTATAGCAAAACAATGTTCCCTGGTTTGTCCAACTTTTGGAAACATGGTTTGGGAGACAATATTCCTCCGATGTTTCCTAGTTTTTTCGACCTTTGGAAAACATGGCTAGTAAACATTGTTTTGCCCACCTTTGGCAAACATGGCTAGGAAATAATAATGGCGCTTTCCAATATGGCATCGGCCTTACAATTATCATTTAGGAAAGCTAGGAAGAAAATTCAAAACAATGCTTCTGTAACAATATATCAGGGGCCGGTTGTATAAAACTCTTAATTACTTTTTAATCACTATTTTGTAGTTAAATAGTGATTAACTCTCAAATACGCGCTTCTTATTGGATGACGTTTCCACTAACTATAGTTAACTTTAATCACTTTTTTATACAACCGGCCCCAGGGCTAAACTATTTTTTTCTTTAGTTTGTAGCACATCCGCACACCCAGCAACTCCTAAACGTCGTAGTCTACTCCGGCGTGCCCAAGAAGATCCACAGAAGATCATTCTTTTCCAACATCCTCCTATTTATCCTCTACACCATCATATTCCCTCTCCTGGTGTTATTGTATCTCGTGAGTCGAGATAATTGGGTATCAAAAATGATGAAAACTCCCTATTTTAAATTCATCAGTCATCTTTCACAGTTCATTATATTTCTGATCTTGATTGCTGCCTCAGCGCTCCGAGATAGTCATACTCCGTCAGGCTTAGGTAAGAACATTGCCTGAAGACGCCTTTCACCTGCTTCAAGTCCTGGAAAGATTGGCCTGCGACCAGCAGCCAATGGCCACCGTCAGTTCCTTGACATTTAGATCTATTTAGACCGCGATATTTAACAAGAAAGTCGGTCACAGAGGTTTCCATCTTCATAACACCTGTGACCGACTTTCTTTCATCTTTTCTTATACCATCTCTGCATTGTCTACCACTCCACATTTTCCTCTGATCTCTTCATTCGATATTATCGTCTTCGGTCTCCCCAGTTGACTGACTGACTTTCTTTCAATAATATCTCAGCCTTACTTCCTTCACCTTCTCTGCAATGTCCACCATCTCACATCTTCTTTTGATCTCTTCAATTCATGTCTCTGATTGGCTCCTCTTCATGTCTTCTTATTACATGTTCCTACCATCTCAGCCTTGCTTCCTTCACCTTCTCTGCAATGTCTACCACTCCACATTTTCTTCTGACTTCTTCACTCCATATTATCCTTACATATCGTCTTCTGTCTCCCCAGTTGCTCTCTCTATCTCTATAATGTCTGTGATCGACTTTCTTTCAATACTATCTCAGCCTTGCCTGCATCCTCTTCTTTGCAATGTCCATCACCTCACATCTTCTTTTGATCTGATTGGCTCCCCTTTATCTCTTCTTAATACGTGTCCATACCACCTCAGCCTTGCCTCCTTCATTTTTTCCGTAATGTCTACCACCCAACAAGTTTTCAGATTTTTTACATTGCATAATGTCTCTGACAGTCTCCCCTCCATCTCTTATTACGTGTTCATACAATCTCAGCCTTGCTTCCCTCACCTTCTCAGCAATGTCTACCACGCCATATCTTCGTTTGATCTCATTACTCCATCATGTGTCTGACCAGCTCGTGACGTCGCAATGTCTATCCAGACGAACTTATTGTACTATGATAGCTCGATCTATACTGACAATGTTTCTTGCAACAAATCATACCTGGTATTTTCCAAATTGTGCGTCCAATGTCAAGCCTTAACGGTTGATCTGTCTGTTTGGTGCATTTATACCAGATAAACTATTTCTTATTTTTCGAAATCCGTCCAAATGGATCTGCCGAGTTTAAATCAGACCACTGAACGTTTTCAACCTCACTTTTCAGAATATCTGATAATCATCACAGTTGTTGGCATGATTGTTCAAGAGGTCAAAGAAATGTTCAATCACACACCGCGGATTAGTTATTTCTTTAAATGGTGGAACATTGTCACAACAATAATGTTAACACTGTTTGTTCTGGCTACACTGTCCTGCATAGTAGGTTTTGCTATTACAGGAGGGTGGTCAGTGGTGAATTATTCTCTGACTCGATTTGCCGAGTCCAAAGATGGCTATCAACTCCTGTTGCTGGGCAACAGCTTCTTCTCATTGGCTATCGTCGTCAGCATTTTTCATTTGGTCGACATGTGTCAGGTAAAGTCACAACAATTTGTTTTGTTCAACTTTGCCAAATAACTTTTTCGCAACAATATTTGCCAGTTTTTACTTCGGGAAAGAGACAGCTACGAAACAATGCTTCCTGGTTTGCCCACTTTTGGGAGTCATGGCTAGGAAACAGTATTTCCTGGTTTTGCCAACTTTTGGGAAATATGAATAGAAAACAATGCTTCCTGCTTTGCCCAATTTTTGTGAATCATGGCCAGGGAACAATATTTCCTGGTTTTGCCCACCTTTGATAAGCATGGCTAGGAAACAATGCTTCCTGGTTTGCCCACCTTTGAGAACATGGGTAGGAAACAATGTTGTCTGGTTTGCTCACTTTTGGAAAATATGACTAGGAAATAATCAGCAACAACACAGTTTGCTCTGCGTCTTCGTAAATCAAATCTATTTTGTTTCTTTATAAATTCTAGGTCAATTCCGTCCTTGGTCCATTGCAACTCTCGCTATATCGTATGCTTCAAGACGTTTTAAAATTCCTTCTATTTTTTGCCGCCATTTTTGTGGCATTTGTGATGGGAGTACGTAATCTCTACTCGTACTATAATAGTATCCAGGCGGAGATTGCCGAGCACAGCAACAAGAATAACAGTATGATGGCAGAGACTAACCATCCATTTTCCACGTAAGTTTAGGCAGATTCTACCAAACACTTCAGAGTTTTTTTCGTGCACTAACGCCAATGGACCATTGAGGGATGGCCCTTACTGTACCTCTAGGAAGAATAGGTTAGAACTGATAAACCTATCCAGTATAAACTGATAAACTTAGTTTATGTTTCCTCCTGTAGCAACAGTTTAGTACAGATACAGCCTTCCAGTATATGTAATTAAAATACTCATTAAAAATTCATAAACCTTGTGGCAAATCATGTCAGCCATAATATGTCACGTGGAGTGACTTTATATCTGATAAAACTCATCAATTGTTCTCCTAATTAGTATGATTATATAATTGTTCATCCTAATTAGTATTCTTTTGTAGTCGTATTTTAAGCTATTCAAAACACTCGAACTCGCGTTTTATCATATCTAAAACGCTCGGCTGCGCCTCATCTAAATATGATAAAACACTCCTTCTCGTGTTTTAAACAGCACTTAAAGTTAGTTAATTTTGGCTTTCCTCCAGTAGTAACACAGGACTTCTATAGGAAAAACAGTTTAAAACTGATAGATCTAGTTGAAAGTGAAGTTTAAAGTTATATTCCGTCAACAATGTTATTTCATTTTTTAGATTTTCTCAATCAACTCAAAGCATGTTCTGGGCTCTTTTTGACAAAATTGACCTGGAAGAATTTGACACAAAAGACGGAACGTTTAAAATCACACAGGAAACTGGAAAAGTTTTATTCGCTTTCTACTCAATTTGTGCTATCATGGTCGCGCTCAATATGCTTATTGCTATGATGAGTCATTCTTATGAGTATATTTCAGTAAGAAAAACTAACTTAATTTATACGGGATAAAGTTCCAAATTGTTCTCCCTAGAGGTCCAGTAATGGTCACCCGTTTTAGGCCAGTGATATAACTACACAGGAAAAGAACTAAACTAACTTTATTTATAATGGATAACTCTATATCAGTTGTAAAACCATCTTCTTAGAGATTCGATAAGTGTCATAACTTAATTAATGCTTAATTTTCTTGATAGTGGACCCCTGGAGTGACCCCTCATCGTTCTGTGGGAAAATGAAGACACTCTTCTCGCATTCATGCAGTGGTGATATAATCAAACACTTGCATTTTGCAGGAATTGGACCCAAGAGAAGCCGACGATCTGGCTCTTTATTGGGGCGGGGAGTTTCTTCAATTTCCTGAAGAGCCTTGTCGCAGGCAAGGCAGGAAGACAAAAGGCATTGGCTAACTGCAACTATAGTTACATTTTTTCTATTCGTAGCAAGATGACGATATTCAATGGAAATTCAGTCGCACTCAACTATGGTTAGAATTTGTTGAAAAAGGAAGCGTACTGCCAGCACCTTACAATCTCATACCCAATCCACGGGAAATTTATGACTTTTATAAAAAGGTGCGTCGAGTCATGTAGTAAATATAACGCGTTAAGAGTAAGCCTAAGGTTTGATGCAAGACGAAGAGACATTGTTTCCTAGCCATGCTTCCCAAAGATGGGACAACCAGGAAATACTATTTCCTATCCATATTTCCCAAAGGTGGACAAACCAGAAAACATTGAGTCCAAGCCGTGTTTTCTGAAGAAGGGCAAACATGGAAGCATTTGTCAGAAACATTTTCCAGTGGAGTAACTTAGATCTGAATACATTACTTAGTCACAATAAATACTGCATGCATGGCTGTGGAATATCCAGACATGCAGGTTGAAAGTTGAAAACTAATAAAACAATGTCTTTTTCAGCTTAAACAAAAGAGAGATTCTTCCCAAACAGATGGAAGGAAAAGTCACGAAGAAAAGGTATGGTTCCTTTCTTTTTCCGAGCGCCACCTCCCTTGATGACTAAAATCGTCTGGCATTAGACAGAGTGAAATAACAAGTCATAGTACTAGAGTGCGGTGCCCTGGAGCATGCGCAAAACATGCACAAGGCATAAGCTGTATGATTCCGAACAAACAAACTAACAGAAGAAGAATTTTATTCGTAATACATTTGTTGGTTCGACTCCCACCGTGGCCAAGCATATTTTTCAAGCCTGCCCGGTGTCGATATACACTCAGAGTAACATCACACAAGCATCTTATTCACCTGAGTACATTACACCAACACAGCAAAACACATACAACACATTATTAAGACAAAGTTAGCACAGGGTATCTGAAGTAGCTTTAACACTAATCGAAGTCAGATAACCGATAAAAGTATTCGACCCACTGTGGATCAACATTAAGTGTAAGGTCATGGTACACAGACGAACAAACGCAGGTGGCGAATATTAGGCTGCGTCCAGACTAAGTGCCCATGCAGCACTGGTGTCCGTCACTTGTTTTGGCGCCTAATTTAAACACGACGCTTCCAAATGCATGAAATTGGGCACAATGCCCAAGAAAGGGCACTACTTCTAGAGGTAGTACTCAACAACGGCACTGTGCTCAACATGTTTTGGGAACCAGTTTAAACATTGGGCACCAGTGCCAGGCACTCAGTCTGAACCGCCGCCTAAAGCGAAGCCTTCGATGATCTGGTTTCCGTCGATGATCTGCACCGGAATCGCAGGGCCGTAGGTTCAATTCCTACCAGAGGACGTTGTGCTGCATTTTTCGCAGTCGTTCCTGGTCAGGTATCAGGTCTTAAAGTGTATATATACTCACTTGGATTACTAACCCTAAAAACAGCATTCTAATAAAGCGAAGCCTAACCTCGTTTGGGCACCGCAATCTGGCGTTAGACAGATGTGTGTTTAACATTTCAGAGAAAAACGATCATCAATCGTCTGGTACGCCGTTACTTTCGGACTGAGGAATCTCAAAGAAAGAAAGAATTGGGCACTTTAAATGACATCGAAGAATGTAAACATGAAATCGTCAAAATTTTGAAAGAAAACCAGGCAACGAATGTTAAACATTGAAGAGCTATGCTGAATGGATCTTCATTCTTCATTTCATGATATTTTCGAAAATGAAACTCCTTTTGACTTATTGTCTACAAACTATTTTTTATGGAAAGAAAGTACTAAACTATAACTTTAAACAACCATAGGCAACTCAAAATCGAAGGAAAAAAGGCGTTTAACCACTGGCAGTCCAGTAAATATTGTATATTCAACTCAAAATGCATGAAACGCTTAAAAATGTGCATAAAGTTCGAAGTGACGTAAAATGACGTTAACATCGGAATCTGCATATATAATGAGCTCTCAGTGAACGAGCTACACAATAAATCGCTTGATGGCAAAGTCGGACGAACTTTATACGCATTTTTAAGCGTTTAATTAATTGAATAGACATAATTATTTGCTGGGTGCTTATATGGCTTAAAAATGCGTCGAACACTCGAACGTTCGTCCGACTTTACTATCAAAGCGATTTATTGTGTAGCGTATTATATGTATGCAGATTCAGATGTTTGCGTCATTGGATTGTGATATAGCACTAATTATACAATTATTTTAGAATTGATAACACTATCTAGTATAAATAAAGTACTATTGTTTAGTTCATATTATTCTGACACGAAAAATTCTTCGTTTCGAGCGGGATTCGAACTCGCCCATTAAGCTATTCAATTTAAATAAATAGCCTATTCAATTTAATATGAAGTCCATTCACCTTAGTATATATCTCTATGGTATATATACAGCTATTTCAATTAAGGTTGTCCGCGAGCAAAGCGGAAAAGTCGAATACGAGAGCGAAACTGAAAGGTTGCTGGGAATCGTTAACAAATTAATGAATTTTCAAAGCGATTCCTAGCAGCCTTTCGCGCTCGTATTCAACTTTTCCGCTTTGCTCGTGGACAACCTTAATTGAAATAGCTGTATGCATGAACTTGCGGTTAGAGCTCGACAACTGGAGTTGGTTAGAGCGCTGCAGCCAGAGAGCCTGTATAATAATATTTAAATTTCCAACTACACAACCCTTTTTCAAACATGGGCCAAAAAACAAACATGGTTTATCAAATACAGATACTTTGCGGACACCTGCAAATGTAAATTTTTACTTTTCGTGCAACATTGAATAATATTATCATTAATAATATATTCTTTCCCTGTATTCGACATTGTTGTTGCATAATGATAATCAATTGAGTCACGCAAAACAGTTTAATGCAAGCTGATGCACGATTCAACAGCAGCTCCCAACAGCGAGGTCGAGGGACGATTAATAAAAATTTCAATGGAAACCGCAACAAATGGAGTTTTCTTAGATCAAAATGACGCAGACCTTTTCGCTGCTGTCAAAAATGGCGATACCAACTTGGTCAGAAGCAAACTTAATGACGTTAATAGCCCCGTGAATATAAACGCCATCAATTCTGATGGCGAAACTGCGTTGCAGATTGCGACCACGATTGGCAATTCTGATATAATATACGAACTGTTGAAAAATGGAGCAAATTTATATACTGCTCTATCCCAATGCGTTCTTGAAAACAACCTGGAATGTGTCAAAGAATTGCTCTAAAAACAGCCAGAGCACAAAATTGCAGAACTGGAAGAACTTATCATTCAAGCCGCTGAATTGGGCCACTACGACATAGTTCATTTTTTTCTGATTCAGAAAGATTGCAAGATTAATGAGCCGCATGATTTTGAATGCAACGAAAATTGTTGCAAACTTACAGTGCGTAAAGAGAAAACATATGCAGCAGATGTACGTCGGTCAAAAATCGCAATAAATCGTTTCAAGGGCCTTTCAAGCCCTGTTTATATGTGTGTGAGGTAAGTCCTATTCCTTCAAAGCAGTCTTACATGTTGGGGCAACATTGTCCGATATTCTCACTTTCATATACATATAGCCTATATGTATGTATATATAACTGAAAGTGAAATAGTTTCGCCCTGTAACCACAAAAGAAATTCCTAGTAAACAACTGGTGGATCGGTCACAATACACGCAAAACAAAGAGAGGAATGCGGTTATACAGGTTGAAACTATTTCAGATTTTTTGTTGGGTAAAAACAATTTATGTTTTTTTTATGAAAATTTTATTTCAGTAAAATTTCTTTATTTCACAGAGTTTCTTCCTCGTGATTCATTTTGGATAAAACAGGCAGTGTAGTATTATAGCAGTGTAGTATTATAGCAGTGTAGTATTATAATAGTGTAGTATTATAATAGTGTAGTATTATAGTAGTATATATTTCACGAAATGCTAGTAAAAAGTGCTTGATATCATATAGATAGAGCAGATGTGTAGTTGTTTTTACCTCAAGCAGGCTAGTGAAATCATCAGGTGGCTGACAAATTTTTCCATATTTTGAAATTTGTCAGCCATTGCACCTGATCATTTCTCTTAATATATATATACATATATATTTATATAGAATCAAAATTACCATAATGGCGAAAATGCCAATAACCCTTTATTGACCAGAGAAGCATATTGGATGGCACAGCTGTGTACAATTAGCTCTTATGGCCTCAATAAGAGATCTGAACTTCGATCAAAAAATAGGATCCATTACAAGTTGTAATAATTATTATAATTATAACTAGCAAGCCATATTATGGTAATTTTGATCCTACTATTGATCCTCATTAATTTATTTACTACATAATATGGTAATTTTGATCCTGCCAATGCTATAAAAGCTAGACATTGTTAAATTGTAATATAAACTGATGAAGGCGGAACTGCCGAAACGTTTTTAACTTTTAAGCTTTTATTTTAGTATGTTTTAGTTTTTTTAATAAATTGATGGTCGAAGTTGCATAGTCTCTGATTTTTAAATTATAAATATATATATATATATACACACACCTTAAAAGGTTGCCCCCTACAACCCATTTAATTAATCCAAGAGAAATGATCAGGTGCATGGCTGACAAATTTCAAAATATAGAAAAATTTGTCAGCCACCTGATGATTTCACTAGCCTGCTTGAGGTAAAAACAACTACACATCTGCTCTATCTATATGAAATCAAGCACTTTTTACTAGCATTTCGTGAAATATATACTACTACAATACTACACTACTACAATACTACACTACTATAATACTACACTGCTATAATACTACACTGCTATAATACTACACTGCTATAATACTACACTGCCTGTTTTATCCAAAATGAATCACGAGGAAGAAACTCTGTGAAATAAAGAAATTTTACTGAAATAAAATTTTCATAAAAAAACATAAATTGTTTTTACCCAACAAAAAATCTGAAATAGTTTCAACCTGTATAACCGCATTCCTCTCTTTGTTTTGCGTGTATTGTGACCGATCCACCAGTTGTTTACTAGGAATTTCTTTTGTGGTTACAGGGCGAAACTATTTCAGTTTCAGTTATATATACATACATATATATGTATATGAAAGTGAGAATATCGGACAATGTTACCCCAACATGTAAGACTGCTTTGAAGGAATAGGACTTAACGTTTTATATTTCTCATCGTCTAATGTAAGGATGGGTAGGATGATATAAGGATGCTTTTGTAGTAGAACTGAAACGCATACTCGATGAGTAGTCACTAGAGTAAGTGCATGGGCTGTGCTAATCATCCTTACTTGCAGCTGAGAGCTAAGCTGAATTGCGAAGGACGCAGCTCAAACCTGCATGATCGAGTCGAAGTCTTACTATAAGGGCGCCTCAGGCAGCCACCTTATATAACTCATGTCTGATCCCGGAGCACAACTACGGTGGAATGGTCAGTTAGGGGGTTATTCCCAACCCACCCTGTCAACATTCCCTGTGGGAGGAAACCGGAGTACCCAGAGAAAACCCGGTAGAGCGTTGACTAACTCTTTTCCAGTGCTGTAGAAGTTACTCATTTTTTGGAACTAGGTACAGTTACAGTTACATTCCCCAAAAAAGAACTAGTTACTGGTAAAAGTTACACTTAAAAAAATGTAACTAGTTGCCGTTACAAAATTACTTCAATATTTTTGTAACTAGTTACAAGTTTCTTAGAAATTTTTGTAACTTTATCAAGCAAGAAAAAACCCAGTTTTTTTCAACTTAATAATTAGTGATTTAATATTTGTAAACGTTATGTAACCTTACCACTAATGGATCGCTCAGCTGTGTTAAGCACTGAAGCATGCGTTGTCGTAGAAAACCGTGAGGAGAATTTCGAGAACTGAGAGGTGAATTGTAAGTTTTAACCGCAAGAATGTAACGAAAAAAGTAATGTAAACGTTGGCTATAAAAGTAACGCGTTATCGTTTCATTTTAGGCCAAAATGTAACTCGTTACAGTTACAGTTACCTTATTTTTAAAGGTAACTAGTTACCGTTACAGTTACTCAAAAAGTAACGATTACTTGTAATTTCGTTACTTGTAACGAAGGTATTTACAGCACTGCTCTTTTCACATAAGTGTCATTAGTCCAATGTGAGGATCGACCCACGATCTCAGAGGTGAAAGGCCCTTGTTCCGACGATTTACCACATGTAGAAAGCCAAAGATGCGAGTTTTTCTCTATTTTCTGCCTCTGAACTTCCAAAGAGTTATTATGAAATAGCCATAGTCTTGTAAACGTGAAGTGTATTTCAAAATCACTGCATTGTGCTTAATTTTAAAGGTATTTAGTCTCAGATGAAGATCCATTGACTCAGGCTTTTAATTTGAACACAAAAGTACGAAAACGAGCCAACGACGAACCAGCATTAAAGAAAGAATATCTCAAACTCTCTGAGAGATGCAAGACCTTCGCGACAGATTTATACAACGGTTGTCGAGACAACACAGAAATCACTGCGCTTTTGGGCATCGATGAAAAACAGCTTAACCCCGACTGTCACCAGAAATTGCATAAAGAAATTAAAGCATACGTGGTTGGGAAATTGAGGGACGCGATCGACAGCACACATATAGAGGTGTGTGTGTGTGTAATTTATTAAAAGGTATAGCGGGTCCAAAAATGGAAGTCCAAAAGGTGAAGCCAAAGGTGGCGGAAATTGACCCTTTATATTGCCGCTGTTTTCTGGTTTGCCCACCTATGGGAAAAATGACTAGGAAACAATGTTTCCTGGTTTGCCCACCTTTGGAAAACATGGCTAGTAAATTCCTGGTTTAGGCTACCCTTCTCTAAGAAATATGTCTAGGAAACATGTTTCCTGGTTTGCCCACCTTTGGAAAACACATGGCTAGTAAATTCCTGGTCTAGGCTACCCTTCTCTGAGAAATATGTCTAGGAAACACGTTTCCTGGTTTTCCCATCTTTGGAAAACATGGCTAGGAAACAATGCACGTTTTCTGGTTTGCTCATCTTTGGAAAACATGGCTAGGAAACAATATATTTCCTGCCTTGCTCATCGTCGGAAAACATCGGAATGCATGTTCCCTTTGGCAATATCCAATTTTCGTATTTATAGTTTGATATTTTTTATCGTGCTGGCAGACAAACATATATATACACTCACACATAACCTCCTTGCGGAGGTAGTAATGCTTCAGCAACAATATTCCTTACTTGTCTCAGAGCTGAACTATTTTTTCTTTAGTTTGTAGCACATCCACACAACCAACAACTCCTAAACGTGGCAGTCTACTCTGGCGTGTCCAAGGACATCTACGGAATGCGCCTCGTTTTCAAAATACCCCTATTTCTCCTCTACACCGTCATATTCCCTCTCCTGGCGTTACTGTATATCGTGAATAAGGAGAATAGGGTATCAAAAATGATGAAAAATCCCTATTTCAAGTTCATCAGTCATATTTCGCAGTTTGTTGTATTTCTGTGCTTGATTGCTGCCTCAGCGCTCAGAGACACTCATGCTCCGACAATTTTAGGTAAGAACATTGCCCGGCGACTGCGTCATCCCTCGTCGCTTCAGTTGGGAATAGAGATCAGACTGTGTGTGAATAGAGACTGTGGAAGAGTCAGGCCCGGCGATTCACCCACTATTCTTCAGGAGCATTTTTTTAGTTCTTTCAAAACTGAGAAGAAACTGGGAAAAAACTGGGATAAAAAAAATAAAATAAACTTATAATGAATTAATATTCATTCATGCATTTCGTTTGTTATTTGTCTGATAGTTTTTGGTATAATGATTAATTTATTGATTGATAGGTTCACTCATCCACAGACCGACTCATTGAGACATTGATTAATCTGTGGCGCAGGTTACTACAATTAGAATAATATACCAAAAAAATTAAAATATATTAAAAAATATATATATATCATAAAAGATTATCATAAAACGTGTCTAAAATGCACGAAATAGCGTTGTGCAGATCCTAAAATAGAAAAAAATCATCCCTTATTTTCCCAAGCAAAATCAATTCTTATTTTCTCAAGTTCGTCCAAACGGATATTCCGTCTATAGTTTAACTCGGACCACTGAACGTTTTCCTGACTTCATTTTTCAGAATATCTGATATTCATCACCGTTGTTGGCATGATTCTTCAAGAGGGCATCGAAATGTTTCATCATGAACCACCTATTAGTTATTTCTTCAAATGGTGGAATATTATCACAGCAATAATGTTAACACTGTTTGTTCTGGCTGCGCTGTCTTGGATAGTAGGCTTTGCTGTTACAGGGGGATGGTCGGTAGTGGATTATTCACCCGTCCAATTCGACAAGAACAAAGATGGCTATCAACTTTTGTTGCTAGGGAACAGTTTCTTCTCATTGGCCATCGTTGCCAGTATTTTTTATTTGTTCGACTTATGTCAGGTAAAGTCACGACAATATTTTCCCGTTTGCTCAATTTTGCAAGACACTGTTTGCTGGTTCGCCCACCTTCGGGAAACATGGCTAGGAAACATGGCTAGGAAACATGGCTAGGAAACAATCTTTTCTGGTTTGTCTACCTTGGGGGAAACATGGCTAGGAAACAATGTTTCCTGATTTGTCCACCTTCAAGAAATATTGCTAGGAAACAATGTTTCCTGGTTTGCCCACCTTCAGAAACCATGGCTAGGAAACGATGTTTCTGGTTTGCCCACCTTCCGGAACATGGCAAGAACATTTTTTTTCTGGTTTGTCCACCTTCAAGAAACATGACTAAGAAACGATGTTTCCTGGTTTGTCCACCTTCAAGAAACATGGCTAGAAAACAATGTTTCCTAGCTTGCCCACTTTCAGAAACCATGACTGGGCAGAATGTTTCCTGGTTAAAACTGCCATGACTAGAAATAGTGTTTCCTAGTTTATCCACCTTCCGGAAACATGGCTAGACAATATTTGCACAAACAAATGAAACAATGCTTCCTCCCACCTCGGTAAATCGAACTTAATTTGTTTCTTTATCAAATTTTAGGTCAATCCCGTTCTTGGTCCATTACAGCTATCACTATTTCGTATGCTTCAAGATGTTTTAAAATTCCTTCTATTTTTTTGCGCCATTTTTGTGGCATTTGTCATGGGAGTACGTAATCTCTACTCATACTATCACAGCATCCAGGCAGAGATTGCCGAGCACAGCAATAAGACTGAAAATATGATGGCAGAAACAAATCATCCATTTTCCACGTAAGTCGAGGCGATAATACATCTAAACAACACGAAACTAACTTTATACTAAATAGCTGTATCAGTTCTAAACTGTTCTGCCTATATAAAGACGCATCAATTATCCGGAAACCTAACATAAGCTAACTTTATTTATAGTGGATAGTTCTATCAGTTCTAAACTGTTCTCCATGGAGATGCAGTTAGTTAGTTAGGTTCAGTGTTAGGTAGTTTCAGGACGAACGAATTATGAATGTTCACATGAACTGGACCTCTAGGGATTACAGTTTAGAACTGATACAGCTGCCTTGTGTGAATGAGGTTGAGTTTTGGCGGTTTCTCCTGTTTATAAGAAGAAACTGATTATATCCCCTTTTATTTAATTGTGGAATCTAACACATAGTCGAACATTTTAGATTTTCTCAATCAACCCAAAGCATGTTCTGGGCTCTCTTTGACAAAACTGACCTGGAAGAGTTTGAGACAAAAGATGGAACGTTTGAAATCACACAGGAGACTGCAAAAATTTTATTTGGAGTGTACTCAATTTGTGCTATCGTGGTCGCGCTTAATATGCTTATTGCAATGATGGGTCATTCCTACGACGATATATCGGTAAGAAAACTAACTTTAATTAAATTGGATAAAGTTCTAAACTGTTCTCCCCAGGGGTCCATGAAGACATACCCTTTGGATGTCCTAGGTTACAACAGGAAAAAACATAACTAATTTTATTTATACTGCATGGATAACTTCATCAATTATAAAATATAAATTCGTCTTCTTGGGAGTTCAGGATATATTTGTACAGGTCCAGTTATAGGGGGTCATCCATCTATGAAACATTCCATCAGACAGTTGCATGCAGGAATGGAAGCCTGAGAGGAGAGATAGAAGGCATTCACTGACCACTGCGAGCCCCCCCTCCCACACGAACAACAGCAACTGGAGTTGCATTTTCTCTATTTTTAGCAAGATGACGATATTCAATGGAAATTTAGTCGCACTCAACTATGGTTAGAATTTATTGAAAGAAGAAGCACACTGCCAGCACCTTACAATATTCTGGCAATTCCACGATTTTGTTATGAGAAGGTGTGTTGAGTCATGTAGTAAATACATCTCGTTAAGAATAAGCCTATAAATATTTTATAAGATACTTCATAAGCTTAAGGCTTTCAAAGATTGACAAACCGGAAAACACTTTTTTTTTCAAGTCATGTTTCTCAAAGGCGGGAAAACCAGGATAGAATCAGAAATATTTGCACACATGCAGAGTAAATTATTTTGATCTGAGTATATTTACTTAGTAGACATGCAGGTTGAAGGTTGCAAACTAAGAAGCCGTACTTGTTTTTCAGCTTACAGAAAATAGCGTGACAAATGGAACAGATGAAGAGAATGGCCAGGCGGTACTGTTCCTTTCTTTTTCTTTTCAAAACTCCCGAAACTTTGTGAATATGTCAGATGATCATTATTTAGAAGCACTAATCGAGTATTATATTTAATATTATATTTTATAAGATACTTCATAACCTAAGGGCCATTAGCAGACTAACAAACAATGTTGTAAGCACATTTTTCCATCGGTATGCTTGTTAAAGGTAGCTACACCATGAAACATTGTTTCCTATAGCTGTGTTTCTCAAAGGTGAACAAACCAGGAAACATTGTTTTCTAGCCATGTTTCTCAAAGGTTGCTACACCAGAAAACATTGTTTCCTAGGCATGTTTCCCAAAGGTGGGCAAAGCAATAAACATTCAATTCTTTCGTAACCATGTTTCTCAAAGGTGGCTATACACCAGGAAACATTATTTACAAGCCATGTTTCTTAAAGTTTTACAAACCAGAAACATTGTTTCGTATGGCTGTGTTTCTCAAAGGTGGCCAACAAGGAAACACTTTTATAAAATAACATGTACATAACGCGTATTCTGATTGGTCGAAAGCCGTGTTTGGATCAGGCCATCCAAACACGGAAGACTATCGTGTTGTTGTTATTTTATAAAACAATTACTTTATGGTTTCCGTGTTTGGATGGAATGATCCAACCACTTGGGAATGTTGCTCGAGTTAAGAAAAGCGGGCAAAATCACTCGCCTTCGGCTCGTGATTTCGCTCGCTTTTCTTAACCCTCGCAACATTCCCGCGTGTTTGGATCAGGCCATCCAAACACGGAAACCATAAAGTAATTGTATATTTCCTACAGCATGTTTCTGAAAGGTGAACAGACCGGGAAACGTTGTTTCTTCTGAAAATGGACAAGCCAGGAAAAATGTGTCAGAAATATTTGAAATTATTAATTGACATTCCCTAAAATGGACTTTTCAATTTGCCCGTAGAGTAAATTAGATCTCAGCCAATTATTTACTAAGAAAACAATGTTTTTTTAGCCTGCAGATGAACAGAAAGTTGAGGTATTATTTTCTTTTTTCTTTTCGAAACATTTTGAACCATTGTGAATATGTTTGGTAAGCATGTAGAAGCACTGAAAGAACGAAGCAACACAACAGAATGCCGAGGGGATGCACCTCTCCGCACCCCACCGTTACTGCTAAGGAGAACAGTTCAGGATCGACAAAGCTATCCATTATAAAGTTAGTTTAGTTTAGCAACCTTTCAGTGTCGCCAATTAAATACAAAAAAATCCTTTGAGAAAGTCATTTAAATATGCGTATACATTTTAAATTTTAGCGAAGAATAGTAATCAAACGTCTGGTACGTCGGTATCTCCGTTCTCAAGAATCTCAAGGAAAGAAAGAATTGGGAACTTTGAAAGGCAATGAAGAAAAACAACATGAAAATCTTGAAAGCAACCCAGGCAGCAAAAATTCACATTATTTTGAGGAGAGTTTCAAAATATGAAATCTTAATCGTAACTTTACAGGTTGTTACAAAGCAGGATAGCAATACTTTTAAACAAATTTTCTAAATTCTGTCCACAACTTTTTGTAGAATTGATTATTAAAGAAATTTTCAACAATTGTACTACAATTAGCGATCACTCATCAGCCTTTCTGACACTAGACACTAGCAGTGCCATGCAGTCGACCTCCTACTGGTAACACAATGATTAAAGCGTATATGATACGTTCCAAATACATTTCATTAAAATTTTTGCATGATCTTGTGATTTTATTGATCCTGATAACTCTAGCTTCAAAATTTTCTTTTTCTCTCTTTGCTATATAGTTTATTTCCTACATTTTGGGCTAGTACCAATATTGATTACTATAGAAAAAACTGTCTAGATCGTGACCCTTATACATACCCCATTGCTTGTTTTGTAGACTGTTTTTTAATCGCGCATGTAAAATAATAGTATTTGTATCACAAAACGAAAAATAATTTATTAACAGACATTCAACCCATAATTTATTAACAGACCCAGGCAGCGACCGCTAAATTTCGAAAAGTCACGCTAAATGTAGAAATTAAGATCTTTCAAAAAACTTCTGGCGGCTGTGGTCATAATTACCGATACAAGAAGCAATGATTATCTCTATAATATTTCTTTGCCAGTTACAATATTTCACACAACAATTAAACACTAATCAGTCCTCTGGAGTTCTGGTAAACCTTCAGGAATTCACTGTCGTAAGGAACTTTAGTTACTGATTTACTTGCATCAGAATAATATTACTATCAAATCCGCCAGCGACAAATAATCGTAAACACACAGTGTTGCTATGTTACAGTCCTTCACTACCAATCACTGTCAGAGTCATCTGCTACCTCTACTGAGGTATCCAATGAGTGGTTGCTAGCAGATAAAATTTGAATGGTGTTTTTAAGGAGGCTAAATTGTTCAAACATCTGGACCATAAGTGCCTTTATTTCGTCCACATCTTCCTTGGACGAGAGACCGTCCATTTTCTCTTCCATTGTATCTTTCATTCCTTTCATTTTCTTTTCCATTCCTTCGACTTTCTCTTCCATTCCTTCCATTTTCACTTCCATTCCGTACATTTGTTCTTCCATTCCATCCATTTTCTCTTCCATTTTGTCATTCATTCCCTCCATTTTCTCTTCCATCCCTTCCATTTTGTCATTCAGTCCTTCCATTTTCTCTTCCATTCCACCCATTTTCTGATTCATTCTTACTATTTTCCTATTTATTTCATCCATTTTCTCTTCCATTCCTTCCATTGTCTGATTCATTCCTACTATTTTCCTATTTATTCCATCCATTTTCTCTTCCATTCCTTCCATTTTCTTTTCGACAGCTTTCTCAAAACGACAATCTTCGTAGCCATACTTCTCTTCCGTCGGGCAACAAGCCATTCTCGAAAGGACACAAATCTAAAGTAAGCCGTGTGTTTATATATTTTTCTTCCAATGTCCCGAATCCAAGTACTATTTAAAACACGAGAAGGAGTGTTTTATCATATTTAAAACGCGAGGCGCAGCCCGGCGAGCGTTTTAGATATGCCTAAAACACGAGTTGGAGTGTTTTGAATAGCTTAAAATACGACTACAAAAGAATACTAATTAGGATGAACAATTATATAATCATACCAATTAGGATGAAGAATTATATAAATAATACTAATGAAGATGAGTTTTATCAGATATAAAGTCACTTCACGTGACATATTATGGCTGACATGATTTGCCACAAGGTTTATGAATTTTTAATGAGTATTTTAATGTTTTTTAACACCGGCTTTACTCCTGAAATCACTCGCTGTAAGTTATCAAACAAAGCCTTCGTGTCTTGCTGAGTTAGTTTCGTTTTGTGATTCAGGTGTTCAGTTACATATGAACACACGGTTGCACAACAGTCACCAAAACAAGCAATGAGGCATGAGCAACGTCGCGACCTCTTTCAACGGTATAATGCGGAATTTGCAGTTTAGCGGACATTTTCGTTTCATCCTCGTCCCCAGGGCCTCTCGGCCGCGTGCGTCCTCCCTAGGCCCTGGGACACACGGAACCAGAAGTGCAAGAAAACTTGCAGTAGTTTCTAAAGCACATGCTCTTGAATTGGGACACTTTAGCACCCGTAAGAATTTTCACAGTGAAGTATTAAGAAGAAACGAAGTATTTGTGTTGACATAAGTTGATAGAATAATTTTGCCCAGCGAAAACTGCTCAACTTCTGCGAAATAGCAGTTCTCTGAGAAGCCAATCAGATCTCTTCCTTTAGTCGTCTATCCCAGAGCCTAAGTGAAAATGCCTCTGGGGACGAGAATGATTGCGTTTATGAGTTGAAATAATAAACACCAATGAGCACTGATTCTAAACATGCACGCATGTACGAGTGAGTTTTTCAAGGAGCATCAAAATAGCACGAGGCCGAACGACGAGTGCTATTTAAGGTCTTTGAAAAACACAAGAGTGCATGTTTTATCCAAATTTCACTAGAAACCATCCTGTTATGTATTACTGTAAAACTATACATGAAAATGGTCGTAGTTTGAACTCACGTTTATCGTGAACCGCGCGTCCGCAGGAAGTTTTCCTGCTTTGTTATATCACATTATACGACGCTAACGGCATGAAAAGTTCACTCAAATATACAAGTTTTGCTAGACTTGTTTAAGGTAAACTCTTTTCCATTTCAAAAAAATATATGCCATATTTTCCACCACCCAGAGCATGCCTGCTCGCAGGTTAGGAGATTGGCTCCAGCAAAGACTCAGATGCAGACACTGGTCTCCGTTCTCAAGAATCTCAAGGAAAGAAAGAATTGGGAACTTTGAAAGGCAACGAAGGAAAACAACATGAAAATCTTGAAAGCAACCCAGGCAGCCAAAATTCACGTTATTTTGGGGAAAGTTTCAAAATATATTAAAATAGATTTTGTAGAACTGCAATCCTGGAAAAAAATTGATAGACTTTTTGAATTATTAAACTTCCCCCCTCCCCCCCTACAACGTTGATATTTGGTTGATATGTTCTGCAAATCCACTTTACCTGATGGGGGCATTGAACTCCCTCAACTCAAAATGCCTCGGTGTTAGTCGATCTCCTACTGCTAACGCAATGGTTAAATTAAGCGTGCGGTAAGATATGTTCCAAATACATCTGTGATATAACTGACTAATGCCTGTATTCTTAAAGCTCACTCACACTCAAAGAGTGGAAGTTCAATCTGAGTGAACGAAGTCTATATTACAGTCAAATTATTTTAACCACAATTAGTTACATTTTTCTTCCACTCGGCGAAAACGTGGAGGCATGCATTAATTAGTGTATATTTTTAACATTTTAGCGAAGAACAATAATTAAACGTTTGGTACGTACGTCGGTATCTCCGCTATCAAGAACCTCAAAGAAAGAAAGAATTGGAAACTTCGAAAAGCATCGAAGACAACATGAAAATTTTGAAAGAAATCCAGGCAGCGACCGCTAAATTTCGAAAAGTCACGCTAAATGTAGAAATTAAGCTCTTTCAAAAAATCTTCTGGCGGCTGTGGTCATAATGTAAATACAAGAAGCAATGATTATCTCTATACTATTTCTTTGCCAGTTACGGTATTTCACACATCTGTTTACATATATAAGGTGCGGTAAGACAAAGTTTAAACACTAATCAGTCTTCTGGTAAACCATGGAGCGGAGGAAGTCACTGTCGTAAGGAACTTTGGTTACTGATTTACTTGCATTAGAAGAACTTCGTTCCAAAGTTTACTACCTAAATAATATCACTATCAAATCCGCCAGCGACAAATAATCGTAAACACATAGTGTTGCTCATATATGTTACAGTCCTTCACTACCAATCACTGTCAGAGTCATCTGCTACCTCTAGCTCTACTGAGGTATCCGATGCGTGGTTGCTAGCAGATGAAATTTCAATGGTGTTTTTAAGGAGGCTAAATTCTTCAAACATCTGGACCATAAGTGCCTTTATTTTGTCCACATCTTCCTTGGATGCGAGACCGTCCATTTTCTCTTCCATTGTTTCTTTCATTCCTTGTATTTTCCAATTTATTCCTTTCATTTTCTTTTCCATTCCTTCCACTTTCTCTTCCATTCCTTCCACTTTCTCTTCCATTCCATCAATTTTCTCTTCTACGCCCTCCATTTTCTCATTCATTCCTTCCACTTTCTTTTTCATTCCTTGTATTTTCTTATTCATTCCTTCCATTTTCTCTTCCATTCCTTCCATTTGTTCTCCCATTCCATCCATTTTCTGATTCATTCCATCCATTTTCTCTTCCATTCCTTCCATTTTCTTTTTCATTCCTACTATTTTCCTATTCATTCCATCCATTTTCTCTTCCATTCCAACCATTTTCCATTCCATTCCATCAATTTTCTCTTCTACGCCCTCCATTTTCTCATTCATTCCTTCCACTTTCTTTTTCATTCCTTGTATTTTCTTATTCATTCCTTCCATTTTCTCTTCCATTCCTTCCATTTGTTCTCCCATTCCATCCATTTTCTGATTCATTCCATCCATTTTCTCTTCCATTCCTTCCATTTTCTTTTTCATTCCTACTATTTTCCTATTCATTCCATCCATTTTCTCTTCCATTCCAACCATTTTCCATTCCATTCCATCAATTTTCTCTTCTACGCCCTCCATTTTCTCATTCATTCCTTCCACTTTCTTTTTCATTCCTTGTATTTTCTTATTCATTCCTTCCATTTTCTCTTCCATTCCTTCCATTTGTTCTCCCATTCCATCCATTTTCTGATTCATTCCATCCATTTTCTCTTCCATTCCTTCCATTTTCTTTTTCATTCCTACTATTTTCCTATTCATTCCATCCATTTTCTCTTCCATTCCAACCATTTTCCATTCCATTCCATCAATTTTCTCTTCTACGCCCTCCATTTTCTCATTCATTCCTTCCACTTTCTTTTTCATTCCTTGTATTTTCTTATTCATTCCTTCCATTTTCTCTTCCATTCCTTCCATTTGTTCTCCCATTCCATCCATTTTCTGATTCATTCCATCCATTTTCTCTTCCATTCCTTCCATTTTCTTTTTCATTCCTACTATTTTCCTATTCATTCCATCCATTTTCTCTTCCATTCCAACCATTTTCCATTCCATTCTTTCTTCCATTCCTTCAACTTTCTCTTCCACTCCGTCAATTTTCTCTTCTACTCCCTCCATTTTCTCATTCATTCCTTCCACTTTCTTTTTTATCCCTTGTATTTTCTTATTCATTCCTTCCATTTTCTCTTCCATTTGTTCTCCAATTCCATCCATTTTCTCTTCCATTCCATCCATTTTCTGATTCATTCCATCCATTTTCTCTTCCATTTTCTCTTCCATTCCAACCATTTTCCATTCCATTTTTTCTTCCATTCCTTCCATTTTCTCATTCATTCCTTCGATATCTTGCTCGATCTTCACACAGTTATGACACTTGGATTTTCTGTACTCGCAAACTGTGCTCTCGTGATGAATAATCTCTCGTTTATCAACCATCATTCCACATTCGTCGTTCGAGCACTTCACCGGCGCAAAACCGCAATTCTCGACGTGAGAATTCAACTCTTCAAGACGAATGTACTCTTGGCAACCTCGGTTAGAATAATCGCACTTTATCTTAAGCTCAGATAAATAATTGCTCACCAGACGCGCTTTACGAAGCGTTTTGACAGTCAAGTCCTCGTTACATTCTGGGCAAGTATGCGAGTTCACAGTCAAGTGTTCAGTGATACAGCCACGACAAAATATGTGTTCATTATTTCTACACATCATTGGTTCCTTCAAAACATTGTAGCAGATAGAACAATGAAAGTGGGCATCAACAGCTTTCTCAAAACGACTATCTTCGTAGCCATAGTTCTCTTCCATCGGGCAACAAGCCATTATCGAGAGGACTGACACAAAATCTAAAGTAAGCCGTGTGTTTATATATTTTTCTTCCAGTGTCCCGAATTCAATGTTTTTAACACCGACTTTACTCCTGAAATCACTCGCTGTAAGTTATCAAACAACTTCTTCGTGTCTTGCTGAGTCTTGTTTTGTGATTCAGGTATTTTACATATGAATATACGGTTGCACAACAGTCACCAAAACAAGCAATGAGGCATGAGCAAGGTCGCGACCTCCATAAACGATATAATGCGGAATTTGCAGTTTAGCGGACATTTTCGGAACTTTTTATACAACCTGTTGTAATACCTAGGTCTTATTTATTGGAGTTTCCGATAGCGTTTATGAGTTGAAATAATAACCAGCGAGTCACCAATGAGCACTGATTTATAAACATACACGAGTGAGTTTTTCAAGGAGCATGATCAAAATAGCACGAGTCCGAATGACGAGTGCTATTTGAGGTCTTTGAAAAACTCATGAGTGCATGTTCTATCCAAATTTCACTAGAAACCATCCTGTTATGTATCAACTATACATGAAAACGGTCGTAGTTTTAACTCACGTTTATAGTGAACCACTTTACCTGAGGGGGTGAGCATTGCAAATTCCCTCAACTCAAAACACCTCGGTGTTAGTCGATCTCCTACTGCTAACGCGAATGGTTAAATTAAGCGTGTAAGATAAATACATCTGTGATATAATTGATGCCGGTATAATTATTTTATTTTTTGGTCTTGTAATTTTAGTGATCATAACTCTGGCCTCAAAGCTTCTACAATCCTGGGAAAAACTAGTGAAACATGCAGTATAATTAACAATTTTAATCTTCCCCCTTACAATGCTGGTTAAGATGAGTAAAAAACATAGACGGATTTTCACATTTTTTACTGGGGTGGTGCCAGAAATTTTAGGGGGGTGAGCCGCGAGCAGGTGACTGAAGCAACACCAGGGCCTTTTTTAAGGATTTTCCCGTGGGGGAGGGGGGCATTTTTTGAAAAGGGACCTTTCCGTGAGATAATATATTAGAGGGGGATGGCAATGGCTGAAGGCCACGTGTGTGGCCAATATACCACGCATGAATGGGGGGGGGGGGTCTGGGGTACTCCCCCAGAAAATTTTTGAAATTTGAATTCTGGAAATGTCATTTCCTGCATTCTGAGCATCCAAATTTGGTCCAAAATTTATGCTAACTATACTTGTATTTGAAATAAATAAAGAAAAAAACGCACAAAAAGTAAAAAAAAATAACCATCATTTATCATTACTTATTAGAGGAGGATAACAATGGTCAGGTGTGTGGGGGTGTATTCCCCCAGAACATTTTTGAAATTTGAAGCATGGAAATGCCATTTCCTGCATTCTGAGCATCCAAATTTGCTCTAAAATTTATGCTAACTATACTTGTATTTGAAGTAAAAGATGGAAAAAATGCGCAAAAAGTAAAAAAGAATATCAACTGTAATTTATCGGCTTATTAGAGGGATAATCCCCAGAAAATTTTTGAAATTTGAAACCCGGAAATGCTATTTCCTGCATTCTGAGCATCCAAAAAATAAAAAAATTTATTAACAATAATTTAGAAAAAAGTAACAATTTAAATCGATTTTGTTAAACAAGGACAAGGGATGAAGCCTAAAACTTACTTTCCGTTTATGTATTTGTTAATCTTCGCTGGTTTGTTTGTATAATTTTAGGGAAAAGGGACTTTTCCTGGGGGGGCGGCAAAATGTGATTTTGTGGGGGGGGGGGCACAAGGGGGGACTCATTTGCCCCCCCCCCTCCCAGCTTGTGTGTTAAAAAAGGCCCTGAGCAACACAAAGTGTCGCCAAACCCCAGTAAGGTCTATATTCTAGGGGTGGAGCACTAGAGCCGCGAGTGGGAGTCAAGAGAGCTGAAAACAAAGTATCCCTGGAAAAATTTGAAAAAAATCATGATTTCTAGCTTCGAAAAAACGTTTTTTGAAGTTGTCATATCAATGGATTTAGCCTGTCCGATTGTCTGTTGAGACTTGAGAGAGTTAAAGTTAAATGAAGCTGTAAAAGTGTAAACCCAATAGGCCAATACACAATATGCTTTTACTTTTATAAAATCATTGACATTGTGTCGTTTGAATCCGAGTACAATTTATGATGCAACTCCGATGTAAATAATATTTGGGACGTAAAGATTAAATCTAGGCAAGACTATTTCCTAAAAGAATTAAAACTAAGAATAATGTTCGTAAAATTTCCAAACGTTCTTTGCAAGCAAGCTATTTGCATGACAAGGCACTGCCAACTCTATTCAGGGGAGATAATAGAGTTTCAAAACTTTACAATTGGTCCAATAAACCAGTGAATGCAAGCGAGGAGCAATTAGTTTCAGAGTATTGCGTCTTTTTCTATTTCAGTGTACTCCTACGTTTATTTTGTATTATCAACACTCTGCACGTTGGAGTGGACTATTTAATTATTTTTTATTATGCCGAATATTGGGGGGTTGAAAATTTTTTTGGAGGGGTGGACATTTTGTTTGGGGGGGTTATAGCTAATATTGGGGGGGGTAGCACCCCCCTGCACCCCCCACAAAATCCGTCTATGGTAAAAAACCTACACATAGTCGGCTCTCTGCCATCGATGAACTATTGAACACAATGTTTTTAGACTCTACAGCCAACATTGTTCAGGAAGGAGGGGATTTTGTCTATTTTATTGATTGAATACAATGTCCAAATACATTTCATTTAAATTTTTGCATGATCTTGTCATTTTATTGATCCATAACTCTAGCTTCAAAATTTCTATTTCTCATTTTGCTATATATTTTATTTCCTAAATTTTGGGCTGGTTTCAATATTGATTACTATAGAAATTAGAAAAGACTGTCTAGGACGTGACCCTTATACATGCGCCCCATTGCTTGTTTTGTAGCCTGTTTTTCAATCGCGCATGTAAAATAATAGTATTAAATAAATTTGCATCACAAAACGAAAAATAATTTATTAACAGACATTCAAGACATGAAGGCGTTGTTTATTCTCGCTTAAGAAGCTCACATTATGTGAAAGACAGACTGTAAAAGATATCGTTAGGGGCCGGTCATTATTTATGGTGGGGGGTGGCACCGAAGAGAAAATGGTTGGGTGAACAAAATTTTGAGTGAGTAAAAGGTTGGGTAAATGAAAAACTAAACAACTCAAGGGTTGGGTAATAAAAAATTATTGTTATTTCCAAGCATGACTCACTGAAATATTGGAGACTAAAAAGCAATGTCAACAGTCATTTGTCAATACAATATGTGAATCAATCAGAGTCACTATCTTGATCATTGCTGGGAGACAAATGGTGTCTCCAAAGAAAGTACATGTGCAGACAACAATACAACATGAAACTTTAGACTGGAGAAAATTTCACAATCCATTATCAAACTCATGTCACAGAAGTGGTGAGGGACTTGTGTGACAACTGAATGGTATCTTTTTGTAATGTTTTTGACCAGGGGTGGGTATTTCTTTTTTAATTGATATTTGAGGTTGGGTACTCAAATATTTTACTTTTTAATGGTTGGGTCAGCAAAATTTTTGCCACGAAAAACATTTCTCTTCGGTGCCACCCCCCACCATAAATAATGACCGGTCCCTTAGGTGAGAATAGATTCAATATTAAAGGAAACACTAATATAAAAGATATGTAAGCAAACAGGTTACTTAGATTTGTGCCTTGTCGAGAATGGCTTACTGCCCAACGGAAGAGAAATATGGCTACAAAGATAGTCGTTTTGAGAAAGCTGTCGATGCCCACTTTCATTGCTCGATCTGCTACAATGTTCTGAAGGAACCAATGATGTGTAGAAATAATGAACACATATTTTGTCGTGGCTGTATCACTGAACATTTAACTGTAAACTCGCATACTTGCCCAGAATGTAACGAGGACTTGACTGTCGAAACACTTCGCAAAGCGCGTCTGGTGAGCAATATTTTATCTGAACTCAAGATAAAGTGCGATTATTCTAACCGAGGCTGTCAAGAATACATTCGTCTGGAAGAGCTGGATTCTCACGTCGAGAACTGCGGCTTTGCTCCGATGAAATGCTCAAACGAAGAATGTCAAATGGTGGTTAATAAGCGAGAGATTATTCATCACGAGAGCACGGTTTGCGAGTACAGGCAAGTCAAGTGTCATAACTGTGTGAAGATCGAGCAAGATGTGGACGGAATGAACGAGAAAATGAAAAAAATGAAGCACGACATGGAAGGAATGAAGAAGCAAATGCAAGGCCTCGCATCCAAAGAGGATGTAGACGACGTGAAGGAACTGATGGTCCAAATGCTTGAAAAATTAGGCTTCCTTGAGAACACCATTCAAATTTCATCTGCTATCAACCACGAATCGAATGCATTAACGGAATATTTCTTGGTAGCAGGGGGCTGGGACAGTTGTGAGAATGTTTTAAGATCTGTGGAACGATTTTCGTGGAAGAATAATATGTGGGAAAGAGTGTCCCCAATGAGCGTTGGTCGAATAGGAGCAACGTCGCTTGTTTACGAGAATCAAGTATTTGTCGCTGGCGGATGTGATAGTGATGTGGATGTATTAAATTTGAATCTTCTTCCTCGACTAGAATGGCATAAAGCTATCGTTCCTTTGCCCTGCCACAGTCAGCGCATCTGCTCCGTGGTTTATCAGAACCGTGCAGTTCTTTTTTGCCCACCGGATGAAACCGACGGTATGGGTGCTTGCGTAGAACTATGCTTTACGACTTAAAGCACCTTACACATGCGAGCAGTTGTGCAACCTGCCTGTACCGGGAAGGAAAAATTACAGGGTGGTTGCATTTGAGCACAGAGTCTTGATTTTTGGAGGACGGAGTGTTACCAATGATTACTTACTTGATAGTGTGTTAGAGTTTGATGTTACTACTAAAGAATTCAAAGTTATGCCTTCGTTACCATGTGCTTTAGAAGAAATGGCGGCCGTTCGTTGGGGGGACGAAGCAATTTTGATTGGAGGTGCAGAAGAATTGGAATTTGGACAAACGGAGTTTTTATGTACAATTCAAAAACAGGCAACATCACAGGATTGCCACCTATGAAGGAAGAAAGAACTGGCGCCGCTGCCGTTATTACTGGCAATACAATTGTCGTGATGGGTGGACGGGGAAAGACAATCGGTCGGCTTAGATCTGTTGAAGCTTTCATTTTGGGAGGTTATTCCTGGAGATGCTTGCCTGCTATGAACGATGTTAGAAGTCTCGCTACTGCAACTGTTTTACCAACAAAAAACGTTCGCTGACGTTCTAATAGTTGTAGCTGCATATTCTAATGCAATATAGAACAAACTGTAGTGTCCATGTAGGGCGACTTGATGCAAGATTGATGCTCATGGATATAGCAAAACTTGAACAACCTTTAGTGACAAGTTCTTGATTATTATGACTATGAAGATTCTTTAAGATAAACTTATTAATGTTGTAGTTCTATCATGTTACATTGTAATTTGTAAAACGACTGCAATATGTATTACGATGTATTACATGATTGTAATACGATTGTAATTTTAAGAATTGGTTAAACGATTTTAAAAAATATGGACCTAAATCACCTGGGGGTATACTCTATACGCCGCCAGGCTATTGAAAGCCTTAGCCTATTCCAGACAAAAATATACGACTTTCCATACCTTGTAGCGGACTTGGACTCAAATCTATACAAATTGCAGACCTTATAATACTACAAAAATAAGTCTGTCGAAGCATCTTGAAAAATCGTACTCAATTTCAGACCAAAAAAGCATACCAATACACTATTTACCCCCAATTTATTCAAGCATTTAATCCTTACTTGCTAGCATTTCTGTTTTTGTACCAACTTGCTGCTTAAATATTAGCCCTTTAGACATTTTCTTTGTTTAAGTTATTCTTAAAATTGACGGTAATGAAATGAAATATTCTACCGGTTTCTTTGTTTCCAGGAAACAGTAAAATGAAACAGGAAAAAATACTGCATTCATTACAGAATGAATGAGAGACCTCGGAACAGCCGCCCCATGCAAACCTAAAAATATCACAGAAGGTGGCTGCTAATCTCTATCTAGACAAATGCCTTCGCTCAAAACGTCAAAGTGTTCTCTATTATCATCATGAATAGTTCCCTTAGTGGAGTTTAAGTCAACCTTACGATGCTTCTGTTTAACCAGATGTGTTCACAGCAGTCTTATAGAAAACTTGTGAACTAGCTATTGTTGTGTTGTTTGGGCTCAAACATATATAATTATCGTGCATGTTTCAAATAGATCTAGAATTGAACAGGTCCTGGCAAGATTAAGGTTTAAAAGACGTCAATTAAAAAAGATAAACGCCTTATCAGCATCTGGCAAATTAATTGAGCAATTGACCATTTGCGTAATAGACTAAATTTTGATCTCAACAAAAATTTCATTATAGCTTGAAAGAGCATCACAAAATTAGTAATATTCCAAAGTTTCGTTGCAAAATGTTGTAAAATGCGGAAAATATAACCTTGCGAAATTTGCAATTTTCAGTCATTTTAGATTACAAACCGGAAATTGACAGCCTCGAAGGGTTTGGGGCTGTCAATTTTCCGTTTGTAATCTAAAATGACTGAAAATTGCAAATTTCGCAAGGCTATATTTTCCGCATTTTACAACATTTTGCAACGAAACTTTGGAATATTACTAATTTTGTGATACTCCTTCAAGCTGTGATGAAATTTTTGTCTAGACTTGTTTAGTTCAAAATTTAGTCTATTACGCAAATGGTCAATTAATGCTAATATTTTCCTTATTTGTACGTCATCATGCTGGAATGTTTCAATATTGATATTTTGCCTCCAGGATAGGATAACACGGCGACGTATAAATTAAAACCTAGTTTACATCATTTGTACTGTTGAATAACAAAAGCTTTGCTAAAAAAGGTGGTGTTTTCCGATCGAGCCCACAAAACGATTATGAAATACAGTCTTACATCATTTGCACAGTTGAATATAGAAGCTTACACGCATTTTGCGGTCTAAATTAAGCTTTGTGAAATATTAAATACGTGTTTTCCACAAAATTAAACATAATTTATACTATAAATATTATTTGAACAAAGAATGGACGTGATTCACAGGAAATGGGATGAACCGATAATCAAATGTTAATTTAAACATGGGGAAAATTTTGTTGCCATGCAAATTTGGCGCTTTAAAAAGTTATGACATTAACGTCTGTACAAACTACTCTTTTTGTCTTTTAATTTATTAAAATAAACAGTATCAATCATCTCACGTCTTCATTCAAAGTACCCCGATAGCTATATATAAGTACCTCCATCCACGCAAAACAAAGTCTCTGTTTAAGCTCAGTCTGATCAATTCTTACACACAAGTTCATACTGAGCCTTCAAGAGCGGACTTATCAGCTGGTGGTCGTGCTTGTGTGTTGATTTCTGAAGCTTCTGCTGAACATATTTTCAGTCTTCATTTCGGTAAATACTGTCTCTATACTCACATAATCTTAGTAGCGATATTGTTCTAGTATTACTAATAAAAAACAGTCGATTTACTTGACTGATTTGCGTTATATCCAGTTTAATCCATTGAGGATCTGAAGGCGAAATCAGTATATATTCACTATATAATATAGATATCGGAAGGTTTGGTTAAATCAAAGAAACAATCATGGCACATACGATGGCAATGAACAGTACCAATATGACTCATCATCATACATCTATGCCCAACATGTCAATGCATCATACTGGAAGCGGTCATGGCGGAGGACACGGAACGGGAGGGATGCACGGAACACATCCAATGAGTGGACATGGTACACATTCAATGGGTGGACAACATTCAATGCCAGGAGGACATGGACTTGGGCATATGGTAAGGAGTATATTATAGTCATTACTTTATACAGTTAAGTCCTACAGTGATATACGCTCAAGGTATACGACACGTCATTACTAACTACAGAGAGTTTAATCATAGACACAAAGTTATATAAGCTACATTTACTAACAGTAAGCTGTAAGCAGCTAAAATTTGCGGTATCCAAAGGGATTTTTATGAATATGTCACTTGTTTGCTTAATTGGTGCTTAAATGAGAGTAGAAGACAATATAGCAGTCATAATTCCTGAAAATATAGAGTAAAGATCAGTCCAACTGACAAAAGCTGGTAAGCCAAGTCGGTTGAATCCAATTAAGCGGAAGACATAATGTAAACTACTACTTCTATTAAAGTTGTAATTTCTGTCAATTTAAAGTATGGTTGTATTGTGATTAGATTGGGTTATAAGGATCATCGGTTCAAATCCCACAGCGGTTGGGCCGATACTCGGTGTCTGAAAACAGTAGGTTTTACTCGTGTCTACGCGTGCCCATACATTTTAAAGTCATTATTCGACAAAGAGGTGAAAGTCTGAGCGGTATATGGTAGCAACTTCTCCCTCCAGCGAGTTTTAAATCGTAAACAAACCATTTACCGACTACTTGTGTGGGAATTAGACATAATAAAACTATTCTTCATTTTGTTCGTTTTACAAACAGGAAGAGGAACAATGTAATTATATATTTTCAGTAGCGTGCAGCCTTGTATTTGGCAGAATTGAGAGATCTTTCTCACTTTGGTTGTGAAATCTTTTTAAACAATACGTCTACCTATCAGACGGAATCGAATTGACCACTTGCATGATGACGTCAGTGCACTAAAAGTCTAGAACAACCAGTATTAAATCACTTATTGAGTAATAACCTTGAAAACCAGATACGATACTCTGTTTTAATAGAAGTCTAGAACAACCAGAATTAAATCACTTATTGAGTAATAACCTTGAAAACCAGATACGATACTCTGTCTTAAGTGAAAACACAGAGGTCAAAATATAGTGGAAATTTTGATTTTCAATATATAACAATGCGTTTTGGAATAAACAGCAATTGCGTAACTGTTCATGTGAGTAAAAGAAATTTTTAATCAGTATGCCCAAAAATCTCTTAGAAGCAAATGTTTGCAGTGAAATCATAAGAAACATATAAAGAAACGTATATATGACGTGCCTACTTTCATCAGGAATGAATAACAGAATGTCTGAGCATACCGGATATAGTTATTCAACTCTAATTTGGAGGACAAAATATGTCGATAGTTGCTGTATAACATCGCCATGAAAAGAGTCTATACTAAATTGAAATTCAAGTATCTACTTATGAGCAAGAAGATCGGGCTCTTATGAAAATTGATGTTTAGTTCAAAAATCTTAAATCGACTTAAGCCTTCATTAGCATGTATGAAGTTCTAACTACCGCAAGTACGTTCCTATTTGTATATTGGCACCACTGTGATTGGCACGAGAAGAGTGTCACGTAATGACTCTCTCCTGCCGCCTGCGCTCCTTCGCCCAGCGGCTACGCTCGTGTTCCAAGGTCCGCCATGTAAAGTGTAGTGAAATGTATCTCGTCGTAATATTACATCTTAAGAAAACTAAAGACTCTGCGGAGAGAGAGTAATAATGATAATGACCATAACCTACCCAAACCATCAGCTAAAACTATGAAAAAAGGCAGGGTGTTAGCCAGAAGTAAAAGAAAATCCGCGTTTACCTGAAATTGGGAAATTTATTTTAGCCTGAAGCCGGGCATTTCTTTGTGGGTCTGGGGGCGCATGCGGTTGCCCCCTGTCGATTTTGAAAATTTTTGTGTCTTTGAAATGGCATTTCTCGCATTTTGGGAGTAATTTTGAGCAAATGTAGTTATAAGCATGTTTTTAATGGCGTATTAACAACATTGAATTTCTATAACTATTTTTTGGCTGACCCAAATTGGGAAATTGCAACCTCAAAGTAATTGGGAAAACCGCGTTTAACGCGGATTTTTTTACTTTAGCTAGCTAACACCCTGAAAGGCTTCATCGATATCAAGACGCTAAAGTATATGGAAGATTTACTTAGAAGAACTTATTTTTCTGAAACTAAATTAAACAAAACAAGGTTAAAAATTTCGTTCATCACGCCAGCAAAAACGACGCGGACAAAAGAAAAAAAGTCACTTCGCGCAAACGAATTCGCCTAGACCTAGTGGAAAACAGGCTTTATTTCATTTCCCTCCTATTTCTTGTCACAATTTCCATCACCTGCGTCTACAGTCACAAAAACGTTCATCGGCTAATCTGACTACGTTCATTCCTGAGGAAACTTGGCATGTACAATGTATATACGTTTCTTTACTGTTATACTTCTTATGGTTTCACTGCAAACATTTGCTTCTGAAAGAAATTGTTGTACATATAAATAGAAATTTCTTGTACTGTTCACGTGACCAGTCTTTTATGCATACGTATTATATGTAGGTAGATATATAGTTAGTTACTTAGAATATAGGGTCTACTGTAAAACAAGGAGGACTGTGCCTAGCCCCAGAAGCTATCAATCATGGAACACCGTTTTCAAAAACCCGCCGTGTTTTCGTGCACGTTTCTATAGCAATAAGTGTTATGAACCCGTAAACCAAAAAGTTATGTAACAAATTCCTCGGCACCACGGTATGTGCGTGCGTGTGAGGGGGTTATAAGTAACAAACTGAAGCCTTTTAAGGCAATCATAACCACGTGAGGTCCCGGTAAACTGGCAGGGGGTTATTTTTTATGTTCTAAACTTAGCATTGTTTTTGTTGTCTTGTCATAAAATTTTATGTGCTTGCGTAAGGCAGATTTACACTACACGACTTTTGCTCAAAACTGTCTGATGCAACCTGCTTACAACACGAGTTGTACTGTGTAAATCAACTCACCTATGTTGTCGTAGACGAGTTGTGTGTTTGATTTACACAGTACAACTCAAGTTGTAAGCAGGTTGCATGCGACAGTTTTAGGCAAAATTTGGGCCTATAAATTTAAATATATACTCTACATGAAGTATTTTTGTATGGTAGCCGAAGAACATTACTATCGCGGGCTTACAGATTATTCTCATGCCCACACGTGACTATTAGCATACTATTAGCATTTTATTAGCATACAAATACATGTCCATATCAAAATACAAAATATTCAGGATTGAACGCAATCGGACGCGAAATACAGCGAAATACAACATACATTTGTACGGATTTCAAAATGAATATGCATCATGGAACTGGGATGATGATGGGTAAGAATAGCTCGGGACATATGAACATGGACATGAATCACATGATGAAGGTATAAATTTTGCGTTTTCGTTTTCGCCTCTGAGTTCTAAAAGGGAAGTTAATAATAAATGGCAAATTTCGGATGTTTCTCAATTATATATTTCGTTTCTATGGTATATAAAAGCATTAAGTAACTGGGAGAAGAAGTAATACTTTCGCTTTTAGAATACGAATACAATTTAAGTGCTCTGTATGTTTTGAATTATGTCTCGAAGGGCATTCGGTAGATCACAGGGTAGATCAATGCATCAAAGATTAATTTCTCAAATTTCAAACGGGAAATTCGATTAATATATTATAAATATATAATAGGGTTTTCACTAATTCTCAGAAACAATTTATATGATTGGTATTGACTATTGAGTAACTGAATTAGAAGTCAATCTTTTCTCATATTTGTAGATCACAGAAGCATACAAAACGTAGTTATATGTTCTGTATAAATATTAATATTACACATCAAAAGGTTGTGGATCAGGGCATTGATGATTAATTCTCATACCCAGTATTTGTTTCAAACACGAAAATTGGGCTATATCATTATATGTATTAAATATAGTACGTTTCTCAATGATTTTTTGGAATACAATTTATGATTGAGATCTGATTTCAACACATCAATGATTGTAAATTTCTCAATTTTTTATATTGAATGAGAAAGAGCAGCTATATAATACGTTCTATCAATGATTCTAGGACAAACAATTTATATGATTAGTAGTATCACTTACATGTAAGTGACTGGGTAGTTCCTCGGGTAGAGGAGAAGTGATCACGTGATCGGCTAGTTGTGTTGTTTGTGGCGTCAGATATAACCAAATCCCTATCTCTAAGCCTAATCCTTACCCTAACCCTAACCCTAACCCTTACCCTAACCTCAAAACTAATCGCTATAACTAACTGATGACGTAGTCTGTGATGCAAATTCTTCTACCCGAGGATGTACCCAAGTGACTGAAATCAAATGTGATGATAGTTAGTTTTAGTATGTTTTACCATTGCATCATCAAAGACCAATTTCTCAAATTTGTATAAATCAATAAATATGTTTAATAACAATACTGCAAATGTAGCCAATGGCAATGAAAATTCTGTAACAAAATGCTAGCATAAGGTATTAAACCACTTTGTTTTAAGCAAGTATATTCTTGCAGTTTTGAGATTTTTTGAGCAACTGTTTTGTTTCGGTTTGCAATGTTGCTTCTATTTAAATGTACATGGTACAAAAAATTATTTTTGGAAGATTATTTATGAAATAGAGGAATTACTTGTTGTAAAATCAACTAGATTAATCTAAATTAAACCAATATATGATATGCATATAGCATATTTTGCCAATATTCATTTTGGCTGTTTTCCCCGAACGCAAATATTCCAACATTGCTGGAAAATAATAATGTATGCATAGTTTGAAAACAAAGACTATCCATGAAAGATAAATGTTGTGTATTAAATTGTGATTTTTGACAGGGTTAAAGGCATATATACTAATAAATAGAGGAGTACCTATTCAAACTGACCTTTTATTTCTGTGGTACTATTAAAAATATTGTGCATATTGGGCAATATAGACTTGACATTTTTATTTGTGTGGGAGTGAGAACAGCTGCAGTTTTTGTAATGAATCGAGATTTTAATTAATAAATGTTTTGAAGTGAAATTTTAAGATTACTGGTCTATATTACTAAAGCCAAGTTACCATGTATCATAGTGATATGATATTATGACCATTGTAACTCAATATAATAAAGCGCCCATGGATGTAAAATATTTTTACAGTTCAATAGATAGCTGATTTGCATACAACACATACTGTTAAAAACAACAAGAAAGAGCTATACTATTTCACGTCATCAAATGTGAATTGGTCACAACATTGTGACCAAATGTAAACTAGCATTCAACAACATGGTTGTGACATGTTCCTTGTTGGTATGTACAAAAATCAAGTGTTTTTAACTGGCTTATGGATTATATGCCACTATATGAAGCATCATAAGTTGATTAACCTAAAGTGGTCCCCCAGTGACCACTAAATCACCTGGTGTTTGCAAAATGTCTGCACTAATAACCCTTAAGAGTGCTTAGGTCACACAATTTTCAACCATCAAAACATTAGGTATATGCAATGCAAACATGGCCGAAATAATGTCGGGTCAAATATTCATTGTCTTCTGGACTGTAAGGACTTCTAAGGTCAATTAGCATATAAAGATATACTTCAAAATCCCCATTAGGATAAATTTCAACTGGTATCTTTGGCAATGTATGGGACATAAAATAACGGCATACACGACAAATTCCAAACTGCACAAGCCTTAAAATATCTTTTACAGGGCCGTCTGACAAAATGTCCGGTGATGTTGAGTTTGGGTCGGACATATGTCCGTTGACCTTCAGTTCAGTTTTGACTCGGAAATAAGTCTGAATGACACAAATGAATAAATGGTAAATGTTGTAAAGATATTAATTAAAATTAAATAATTTGTTTCTTTCATACTTATTTCCAAGCCAAAATTAACTTGCTTGCCAGAACAGCAGTATTAAAAAAGACTTCGACAACTTAAGCCCGTTTTCCACTTCACCATTTCGCTCGCCGCCCTGCGCTCGACTATACGTTAAAACAACATTTCCAGTTCACCTTTTTATACAATAGTACTCTGATTTTCCATTTAACATACAAGCATCTAGTCCTGGGCTAGGGTACATTTTGATTTGTACGTCGGACAAAGCTACAGTTTGGTCGGACACCAATACACTCAGGTCGGACAACCAATAAACCCCAGTTTCACTTTGGTCGGACAGAATGTCCGGTGGTTTCCTCTCTACGTCGGACAGTTTCACGAATGGGTCGGACAATGTCCGTGACCGACCGATATTTTAAGGCCTGCTGCAGAATGCAGAATACAATAGACAAATGAGATGGCAACATTTCATTGATCTTTTGAACCTAGTTTTGAAAGCAAGGAGCAAGACTCACTCTTCCTAAGAGGGTCTTATTATCCAATTAATAAGTATAATGATGGATGTATTGATTGACTGATAATTTCAGTTTAAAGGCTGCATGTGATCTGATCTAATACATTCCATTATTCTCATCTGAGATTAATAGAGTATAAGTTAAAAGATGGAAAAATCAATATTGTTGAGGAACAGTCTTTTTATTCTTACTCTTTGAGTTCTGAGTATCACAGTAAGAGGTTAGTTCCTTGTTCACTTTACAGCCTAAAGGAACAAGGAACTAACTTTGTCAACGTGTCACTTTAATGGGATTTTTAGGTTTAAACAGCTGTGTTTATATTCATATATTGGCTTATTATTTTGGAAAATGTCCATGTCATTTAATGGCAATCACATTACCACTACAATTAATTAATGTTCCAATTATTAAATAAGTGGGTTCGACATATTTCATTATTTCGCAGATGTAAAACTGTTGAGTGGCAACCAGGATTTTTTTATGAAAGAAAGTTTAAACAGCTTACAATCAAATGACAAATATCTAAACAGCTTAGTATACGAGATTGCTTAATTAATATGCAAGTGACTTAGTAAAACAATGCGGTGTGAAGATATACAATCTCCTGAAAAATATAAACACAATTTTGATGTTTCACCTCGTTCGAATTCCTGACAAAAGGCCTTCACTTGTAACGTCAAAAATATTTTCTCGTTTTCTTCAGGTGTTTATATTTTGCAATGGCACTGACTGTTTATAACTTAGTAAAAATATGTCAATTTTCTATTGCAAAATCTTTATTAATAATAATGATAATTTAATAATTATAGTAAAAAATCTCATTAATAATTCATGAAGAAAAAACAAAATAAATGAATGTTTAATCAATGTTTGTAAATCGGATAAAGATTTGTCCTGATTTACATAAACTTCAGCTTTGATTTTCTCGGCTTAGGCAATGTTCATTTTTCAAATTACTTCGCCAATAAACTCATAAGATGGGTCGTTTTATAAGCACGATAAAACATTCATATCATATCTTTATCTGATATACAAACTCTTGCCTTCGGCTTGGGTAAAGGTAAAGGGTGGGGGGCTGCACCTACCCTACTACCCCAGTTCCTTAGGCGTGACTTTCACTGACATAATTTTTTGACTTGTTTTAGATGTATTTCTCATTCAGTTCAAAAGCAACAATTCTTTTTGAAGAATGGGATATTGATAGTACCAAAGGTAAAAAACCTACATTTTCTGAATGTAATTTGTGAATAAAAATATCAATAAAACAAAGATATTTGTATAATAACATTGGTTTAATGGTTTAATTATTAATTAGAACTCAAAAGAATTCCACGTATATCATCCTGGATTCAATATTCCAGAATCCTGGCTCCACTGGCGTATAAATTAACCGCGGTTTTGTTACTAGTAAAATTTTTCCCATGCAAATATAATACACATTTTTTTACAAAATACAACCTTAAATTTATTGAAACTTCTAAAAAGATTGCAACCCACATTTGCTTTTACTTCGGTTTAATTTAGCTGCTTAAAATGACTAAAATAAAAGCGCTTTCGATTGAAACGTTTTCCACATGGCTCCGCCGTACTAGCCTCGCACACGAGTTTATATTTATACATTTGTAAAAAACCTAAAATTTGGCTTTAAAAGCGGCTAAAGCCTGCTTAAATAAAAGTTATGGCATTGTCTATTATAAATACTAAAACAAACCTCTCTTCTGGCCACAAAAACTCGCTTCTTTATCGCCTTTGCTTTGTGTTCTCGCTCAAAGACAAACGGAAGGCGAGGCCATTTTGCATGGAACAAAATCTTTCGTCTCTGAAAAGAGTGCAAAACAAGGTTATTTCTTTTCAAATCATCACTTAACAAAACGCTCTAGCTTTTTACCTTTTTTATGAAGTAATTTTGTGATTTGACAGTGTTTTAAACGGGCGATGTTTGTTGAAAACTTTCAAAGTATAAATTTGCCACACTTCGATGCGTCTTTGCCACTTCGCATCTGCGGATATTGCTGTGCGGAACAGCGGACGGCAAAAATTTTGCGACGGCGTAAAACGGGTCTCAGTATAAATTGTCAGCTAAATTTTAACTTTTAAGGTCATTGTCAGGCTGCCAGATAAGATATCAGTAGCAAATTGCTGTTGCTTAGTTTGTCAACGATCTGTTAAAGATATTTTATCAGTTATCAGTAAAAATAGGGGCAAAGTTCTACAGTAAATAGACCTTTCGAATTCCCCTTTTGAGTGAAATTTTGATCTAGACAAGTCTGGACAAAAATTTCATCACAGCTTGAAAGAGCATCACAAAATTAGTAATATTCCGACGTTTCGTTGCGAAATGTTGTAAAATGCGGATAATATAGCATTGCGAAGTTTGTAATTTTCAGTCATTTTGTATTTAATACAAATGGGAAATTGATAATCAGTTTGATCATCTGATTATCAATTTCCCGTTTGTTATGCAAAATGACTGAAAAACGGCAAACTTCGCAAGGCTATATTATACGCATTTTACAACATTTCGCAACGAAACTTCGGAATATTACTAATTTTGTGATGCTCTTTCAAGCTGTGATTTTTGTCCAGGCATATCTAGACCAAAATTTCACTCATAAGGGGAAAGGTCTATTAAGGCTTTTCAAACTGTTATAATTTCAACTATTTCAGGAATGGTGTGGTCGTGTTTCGTGGTATTCCTTTTGGCAATCATTTATGAAGGATTCAAGGTGTTCCGTGAAGTTCTTCGTGAGAAATACGGCAGTCCCAAAAGTTACAATCCTTCAAGCAATGGACATGGGCCGGCTGGCAAGAGCCCTTATGATACAACTGTGTTTAGCTACAGGTAAATGAAACATGTACATGAATTATAATTAATTAATTACAGATATTTTCTCCAAGAGCATCGCTCATCAAGGGAGATTATGTCGGATTATTTACAAAGTTTTTTTTTGTCACGAATGACATTTTGCTAACAACATAGCTCTATTGTGATATATTGACAATGTTATTTTGTTTCTGGATTTTATCTTGCCAACAATTATTTTATTACAACGATGGTGTTTACAAATTACAATCAGATGGCATGGAGAACAGTAGTATTTTCAAGACAATGAAAACACAATGGAGCATTTTGATCAGCAGATAGTGACTGGATGGCACTATTGTACACAAGGCCTATTTCAAAGTCATTGTGAAAACTATTTGAAAACGCCTTGCGCCTCGTAAAGCCAGTTGCCACTTCAATCGCACCGAAACGTAGCGTATTTCTTTGTTTTCTGAGCGGTAGTGTGGAACTAATTCTACGGTATGTAAACGGTACGATTGAAGTGGAAAACAGGCTTAACGCTGCCTTTCAACTTTCAAGTTCTCCTTCACATGCTATGCACGAGCACCTTTCAATAGGTTTTCAAGGAGCAAAAGTTTGGAATTCTATAGATGAATCATTATTAAAAACAACTAGTTTTCGAGTATTTTAAAAAAATATGATGTTAAATATTGTAAGGGACTATACTGGATGATCCTGTTTGGATACAATGTTTTCTCCAGACTACAACACAATATTATGCGAATGGTTTGTTCCGGTTGTTTGCCTACTTATTTTCCAACCTATCACGAGTTGCTGCTTCACTGATCAATATTTTTTTGCTATATGCAAACGTGTATCTATTTTTCCAGTTTATATCTCCACCGTTGCTGCAAGTTGACTGATTTATCTTTAAACCTGCTATATTAATGTCATAATCTTACATCATGCCTGTTCATAGTTAGCCTTTATGGTTATTACAGGCAATCGACTGTATGTTAATTTAATTTAAATTTAAGAACAACTGTAAGTAGTCTGTAGTGTGTTTTGACATGGAATGTCACGGTGGCCATGTCATGGATGGCAACATCACAAGTACCGTCATTCAACAGAGCGATACCGTCCAACATACCAACAAGACCAAGGGAATGCATGAAAATATTCAATATGGCGTCGAACGAGGCTGAGAAACTGGTCCCTTAATTTAATAAACATTCCTTACAAATCCTTCAAAACTTAGAATTTATCTATGCAAAATTCCTACTGTGATCACAGAAACTTTGATAATCTAAACCAGCCCTCACAAAATAATTGAGAAACACTATATATAGGTAACAAAATATAGAACGAACCTTATACCTTTTTCTTTCCAGAAACCGTTTCTGCAACTGGCATCACTTCGTTCAGTCATTCCTGCACATCATTCAAGTTGCCCTTAGTTATTTCCTCATGTTGATCGCGATGACTTTCAACGGATGGCTGTTTATTGCCGTGTGTGTCGGAGCTGGCTGCGGCTACTTCTTGTTCAGCTGGAGAGTCGCCAAGTCGTACGATGTGAACGAACATTGTCATTAAATTTTCTTTCGCGATGCTTATTCTTCTGACACCGAGACTATTGATAGGTTTCATTAAGCGTTACATTACAGTTGTTGTTGGTGAACTGGCTTTTACCAGAGTGAGAAAATATTCAAAATACTGTTAATCCCTTTCTTCGTGTTGTGGTATTGACAGCGTATGAAGAAACTGAACCAAACTATACATCTCTCAATTGCCAACAAATAGAAGATAACAGACAAATTTGGCTAACTTTGCATACCTAGTTATCATTCTCCTAGTTTACCGAGGCATAGAATAGAACAAAGGTAACTAAGCTTTAGAATTATCTACACGAGTAAATAATTCTAATTTTAGTTTCCTTTGTTTCATTCTACAGGGTGTATAAAAAAAAAGGAAGAGACCTTTAGAAATCAACCATATTGTTAAAATTTGAATGCCTTTTCAATTGCACATATGCTGAACCGTAGTGCGCGAAATTTTGATGGGGTGCATAAATTGAAATAACGTTTAAACACAAGATTGTCTGCTCCTGGGAACAATCTGCCATGCATACTGTACGTAGATCGCATGTTATACGCACCCGCGGGCTTAGCAAAGTGCTCCAGGATTCAAATTATAACAATGGTTGATTTCTAAAGGTCTCCTTTTTTTGATACACCCTGTATGCTTCTGTAAACAAGAACAATTGTAACTGGGCATAGTTACTCAAAGTTCTGAAATCTGAATTGGGTAACAACGGTGAAATCAACGTTGCCCCACAACAACTTTGCATAACAATTTCTGGAGGGCAAAAAAATGCTGGTTTTTTTGTCTTACCCCTTTGTTTACAAATCTCACAGCTGTCATGTTCTCTAATCACTTCTTGTCCTCAACTATTTTTAGTTAACTGCAAAGAGCCTATTGCATCTTGAATATGCTTTCTTACTCCGATACTTGCCAGTTGAAAACACCATCTGTTGCACGATGCTTAGTGAAACCGATTATTATTTCCTTGGGATTTCAATTCGGTTACATATCATTTAGTCTAGGTTGTTTTCACCAGTTAATTTCCTGGTTATTTTATTTTCTCTAAACTGGCATAACCAGTATTGGGTTGGTTTAACCAGGACATCTTTGGCGATTATTAAATTAAGCAACTAATTATTTATGTCAGACGAATACTGTCCAGTCAACTGAGCTTCATATTTATCTGGAGTAAGAACTCGAGTCCAAAAAGTGAAGCCATTCTCATTGGACGAATGACTGAAGTTCTCGCTCCAGATAATATATAGAGCTCAATGGTCTCGGTGTTGGAAGAATATCCATGGCGAGTTTTCTTTGAGTTTTTAGTCGCCATCTTTAAATTTATTTTAGTAATTTACTTGACTCGACTGAGTCTTAAAATGCACCCGCGTTTTTTATCGGCGCGCTAAACTACTACAATCACACTCAATATATCCAAAATCACTTACGAACAGTGCTCTAATTTATTGAGAAACTACAGGCATCGTTCGTAATTCAATATCACAGTAAAATATAAAAATTTCGCACTTTTAAAATCATGGGCATGATTTTAAATTAACTACAAAAGGCCACACACACAAAATATATCCCTAAGGCAGCCCTCGGGGCGACTCTAACTTGTCATATATGTTTAATATACTTGTAATTATAATATACGTTATGATAATATAAATTATAATGTACGTCTTTCCATCATAGAAATATATCTTTACAAAAATATGTGTGTTTTAATTTTTTTGCATCACGATATAAGGGACCTGTCATGATTTATGGGGGGGGGGGGGGGGGGATGACACCGAAGAGGAAAGGGTTTGGTAAACAAAATTTTGAATGAGTAAAAAGCTGGGTAATGAAAAACAAAACAACTCAAGGGCTGGGTAATAAAAATTTTTTGTCATTTCCAAAGCATGACTCACTCAAATATCGAAGACTAAAAAGCAATGTCGACAGTCTAAATGTCAATACAATATGTAAATCAATCAATCAATCAGAGTCACTATCTTCATCATTTTCCGATTTGTCATGAGGCAAATGGTGTCTCCAAAAAAAGTACAAGTGCAGACAACACGAAACTTTAGACCGCAGAAAATTGCACAAGCAGTTATCAAACTCGTGTCACAGAAGTGGTAAAGGACATGTGTGCCCGACAACTGAATGGTATCCTTTTGTAAAGTTTTTGGCCAAGGGTGGGTATTTATTTTTGAGGTTGGGTAAATTTTTTTGGACTTTTTAAATTAATGGTTGGATTTGCAAAATGTTTACCAAGAAAACCATTTCTCTTCGGTGCAACCACCCGCGATAAATAATGACGGTCCCTATAAAGTATTTCAAATTATTATATACAAAATATACTCTATAATTTTCTCATATTGTGACACATATCTGTTTCTCCTTGATCGTGAGTATAACCAATCACTGTACAAATGGTAAAAAATTTTCGAATTTCTGAAATTCACGAATAAGTCTTCGGTAGATAAGGATTAAAGAGTGTTGACAATTCTAGGGAGTTTTAGTAGCGATAACCGCATGGTCATAAATATGATTTTCATATTACGAATAAAACACTTGTCCGTTCATTTAATACGAATTATAAAATTGGATTGTAATTCATGGCCATTTTATTGAGGAACTACGACAATCCGCCATGTTGGTTTCACTTTCCATTCAAGCAATTTGGTGAAGATCATATTCCAGCTATATATATAGAGTCCAGTGACTAGACATACGTAAATTGGTGTGGAGGACAAAGACTAGTATCCAATCTCTCAGTTTCCAGCTCGTCCAATTTCTCAACTTCAGTTTGTTTGACATAATAAATATCATTTCCAGCATGGTCTGCGATCAGTCCGTACGCAGGTTGGACAATACAGTAACCCACTCCCGCACCTAACGAGATAGCTGTGAATAATATAACACTCTGAATCATGGCTATTAACATTAGCCCGTAACCAATTATGAAGTTAATTTGGTATAATAATGAGGCGGCCAACGCTGTTAGATTATACCTAAAATGTAAATAGATATCAATGCCAATCAATCGATCGATCATGCAATCAACCAATCGCGGTAGATATAATCAATCAATAACAATAAGATCCGTAATAGACAATAGATAATTTATGCTCCTTGCCACCCAATAGCCCCTCTGTCAACGTCAAAAAATATGTCAAAACAATGAGTGACGATGAGAAGACAATGGAACATTCCGATCACTGGATCGGCATGGAGGACAGTGAGATTTTCAAAACAATGAAAAGACAATGGAACATTATGATCACTGAATCATGACTGGATGGCATGGAGAACAGTGAGATTTTCAGAACAATGAAAACACAATGGAACATTATGATCACTGGATCATGACTGGATGGCATGGAGAACAGTGGGATTTTCGAAACAATGAAAAGACAATGGAACATTCCGATCACTGGATCATGACTGGATGGCATGGAGAACAGTGGGATTTTCAAAACAATGAAAAGACAATGGAACATTCCAATCACTGGATCATGACTGGATGGCATGGAGAACAGTGAGATTATCAGAACAATGAAAAGACAATGGAACATTCTGATCACTGGATCATGACTGGATGGCATGGAGAACAGTGAGATTTTCAAAACAATGAAAATACAATGGAACATTCTGATCACTGGATCATGAGTAGATGGCATGGAGAACAGTGGGATTTTTAAAACAATGAAAAAATAGGTTCTTTCGATAAAACATATAATAGTTTTACTTGTGGAAACACAACGTAAATTTGTTACTGCAAAGCTTCCAATCCGTAAGCCCGGATCTTCATCAGTACTAATACATATTATAAATTTACGTGATGTTTCCACACACAAAACTATTAAATGAAAAAATCATAGAACTGGATCGTGACTGGATGGCACTATTGGTGTGCTAAGTGTATTGGTGCGTTAAGTGTCTTGCAAGGCGCCGTTCACACGGGACAGTTAACCGTATGAATTCGAGACCAAATAAGATTAGGCCCATATATACCTTCCACTCTTTCTGGCCTGTAGACACATTTGATACTTCAAGTAAGCACGAAGAAACTCATACACAACAGCCACAACGAAGATTGCAGCAGCGAAAAAAAGATGATCTAAAATTTCAAGTTAAAATATTTTGAGGACAAAGTTCTATAAAAAATAATATTAGGCAGTATTTTAAATTTAACTTAATTATTTATTAGAACGCTAACGTTTCGTCTTTAACTTAAGACATCTTCAGAGCAATGACATACAAAGCGGAAAACACAGAAATATGAATAAATTACAACTATTTACAAGATATTATATTACAAAAGTAGAAAGAGGAATGGATCAGAGTAGAAGTAGAGGTCCGTCACTTGCACACACGAGTATCTGAACACTTGGGTGTTTCTCCTCTAGCAGGCAGTAAAAGCAGCAATCCGACCATGTCTAGTATCCTTTCCCATCTTGATAGCACTGGTCACTCCGCCTCTCTTAATGATTTTAATTAAGATTATTTCTTGTTGCTCTTCTCCAGACGGCGAACTCCTCATTCGAGAAAGTCTTCTCATTAACAAACTCAAACCCTCTCTCAACTTACAAGGCAGTTCGGTCCCTCTACTTCTACTCTGATCCATTCCTCTTTCTACTTTTGTAATATAATATCTTGTAAATAGTTGTAATTTATTCATATTTCTGTATTTTCCGCTTTGTATGTCATTGCTCTGAAGATGTCTTAAGTTAAAGACGAAACGTTAGCTTTCTAATAAATATTTTAAACTATATTTTTGTTATGGCTCTTTTACGTATTTTATGCTGGGCATTAATATTTATCTGATTACGATTTCCGCCTGGTTCATCTATCGCAAGTATTAACTTAATTAATCCATACGATTAAACAATATTAATTGATTGCTAATAACGATTAATCGATTGTGAAAATGAACTTTACGCTGGTGCCTCGTTTATCCTTACACACGCAAAAATCTCACAACTTGTCAACAAGATGTGTTCGCAACAGGCTTTTCGCAAACTTGTTAACAAGTTGTAACGTAACAAGTCAACAAGCCGTTGACAACTTGCCAACAAGCTGAGAACAAGCAGTGAGAACACATCCTGTTGACAAGTTGTTGGAACAGCATTGGCCATTGCTACAAGTCTGCTGCAGGTTTGTTACAACTTGTGCCTTTTTACGTGTGTACCTGATGTCGGTAGAATTGAAGGTAGACTGACCTGCCAAAGTTTTCCCTCGCCATTTATCGAATAAAAGAACGAGATCGTGAGATAAATGAAAGTGAGACTGCATAATGCTTCAGTTGAACAAACTGCATAAGCTAAAAAATTGATAAGGTTCATAAGTTTCAACAGAATTTTTACAAACTCCTACGAAAATCCCCTTTAAGTTTATCATCGTCATTGGAGTACAGTCATCTAGGCTGCATGTCCTTGAATAGCGCGTGATAAATTGTGGCAATGGCTCTGGGAGCCATTCTGGCAATGTTAAAAACATGAAATGCGAGTTTCTGTATGTGAGAGGAGTGTTGTTGGCAAATTAGTACGAGTGTTAGTGTTCGTATTATTGTTAGTATAGTGGTATTTTAATTAGGCGTCTTTTTTAGTTGAAGGTAGATCGTTGGAATGTCAACGTGTCAGTTGATTGTGTTCAGATTGTCCATTTTAATATTTATTTGTATATTATTCTAATTGTAGTAACCTGCGCCACAGATTAAGACAATAGGGAGTTTATTAAGCTTCATGTTTGCGAGAACAGCATGCAAACGGCATACTGCATGTAGTCGAATCTTAAGTTGATTTCCCATTTATTACCTTGTATAGCGTAATTTTTTTCTCCCCCTGGCGTTTGCCATTTGACGTTTGAACGCGAAGCTTAAACTCGCTAATGTCTCAATTCCCTGAATGAATGAATCTACAGTCAACCAATTAATTAATCATTATAAATGGTCGAAATAAATTAATGTTATGTACCTCTATTTCACAGTTTATATCCAAGAAAGAAACTAACGAGTATGGACCAAGAGCTCAACAAAACCAAACTATGTCAACTATGGCTATACGGTGAACGACTTCCAATCATCTGGTTTCATTGGCGTTTCAGTAAAAAACCGGACAATGTTTGTTTCAGAAGTGTTTAGCGCAATTGACCGAGGCGAGGAAACTATTGTCAAACAAAGACTTCTTATGAGTAGCCAACGTCAGACTGTATACAATTCAATTGTTTATCATGTTTTTAAAGAGAAAAATATGCACGTATCAATATATTTCAGAATTTAAGACTATAATCCACGCTATTATATACATCATCCGTTTCCGCGTCCCTACCATTTTTGCGTCCAACCGCTTGTAAATTCTAACCACAGTCTAGACAATAGACATAGTAGCTAATTAGTAGAAACCGGATGTTTTTTATTTTTAAGAATGAAGTATTGTTTGTTGAGGTTTACCTAGCCTAAAATTTTCTTGATAATAGGGCTTTGTAGATATGTTTAATAATGATATAATGTTAAAATTAAAAGCAATGTAAAAAATAAGGCAATTTATCTGTATTGAAACAGTTTCAATGAAACTGAAAGCATGAATAATACGGCTTAAAATAACGCTTTTTTTTGTATGAATTTCAGGAATATCAAAAATGAGCTCAAGGCCATCGAGTCAGTCATGACAAGGACCGTTTTAATACAGACGACGTACTTTTCGTGTGGAATTCAAAATCTGAGCCTCTCTAGTTCGGCACTATACATGCAGCAACTGTTACCATTAACCAATCAAATGGATTTAATCTGCCCAATTAACCAATCAGATGCGTTTAATCTATCCAATTAACCAATCAAATCAGTACTAAACCTGTGAGAGACATAGTGGTAGCGGTATAGTCGATGTCTGAACCTCTCTATTGACGAATTAGGCATGCGTCAGAAGAGCGACGGATGAATCAGTTAAATAATTAAGTATTAAAGTATATGGCAGAATTTGGAGCCGCAAAGTTCGATACAAGTTCGGCAGAGCCTGTCACACTATTATGCGAAATCCACCTACTCAATGGGTGCTGCCAGCTATATATATACAGACTAAATTTTGATCAAGGCAAGTGAAAGAGCGTCTTAGAATGAGTAAAACTGCAAAGATTGGTTGCGAAATGTTGTAAAATGAAGAAAATATAGTCCTGTGAAGTTCGCAAATTTTGTATATATATAGGCTATTTGTATTACGCACGGTAAAAATAACCACTTTCGGCTCAAAAATGATTATTTTTCAGCGCGTTATGCAAATACATACAAAATTTGCGAACTTAATCACAGGGCTATATTTTCCTCATTTTACAACAATTTGGCAACCAAACTTTGCAATACTACTCATGTTAAGATGCTCTTTCCAGCTACGGTAGTAATTTGGTCAGTTCTTCTTGTCTAGATCAAAATTTCGTCTCATCCATTGTTTTTTAATGTTGTAACTATAGTATTAAGCCCTGGGCAAACTAGGAAACATTGTTGCGGAAACATTGTTTCCTACCAATGTTTCACCATGTTTCCCAGAGTGGGCAAACACTAGGAAACATTAGTGAGAAATATCAAATGTTTCTGAATTTGCTAGGAAACATTTTTGCTTCCCACGGGAAGCAAATTTTGTTTCCGCAACAATGTTTCACACGGGTGGGCAAACATGGAAACATTTGAGGGTACAACGAGAATCACAAATGTTTCCACAACATTGTTTCCTAGTTTGCCCAGCCCAGGGCTTTAGATTAGCCATCTTGTAATTTAAAAATGGACTTATTTGTTTTGAATTGTATTTCTCAGGATTCTCGCTGGAACGCGCTTCAACCTTCGCAATACAGCATAAAGTACCGCATTCATATCGCTCCAGCGACGCATCTAATACAATTAAAATTGGCAACAAGATTGGCACATGAAGCGTACGCCAACGCTCGCTGAAACGGGCACATATTCTACTGCCCCAAGTGCCAACCAAAACATCCAGACTGCCGAGGCAGAAGCATTATGTTGAAATTTTTCCGTATCATTCACAGATCAATATATATAGGCAATATACAGAGGCGCACCATGCCTGTGATCTATTCATTCTATTATATAACATCTCATAATACGGATAATGTATATACGTTTGTCATCGACTCTATATATTAAAGCCTGCGTTATATTAATCCCGTTATATATATATATTAATCCCGCGATATAACGTCATATAAGATTAAAAATTAAGAAATTTTTCTGAATATTGGCGAGCACACGTCTATATAAATATATAATATATATACAGCTCCAAAATATCTAAATGCTTTTAGTACAAAAACCGATGATATCTACGCAACCAAGTGATCAGAATTGCAGACCTGACAACCCGAATAAAATGTCCGGCTCCCGTTTATAAAACTATTCACAGCCATAGGCCTACTAGCAAAAAAATAGTCGATCGAACACAAGCGGTCACATATTGATCACATCATTACTGGTACATATACGATACAGAATGATTCACCTAATTTCGTGCGACAAAGACAAAGTTAATGTCGGTATAATGAATATTTCGATTATTCGATACGTATATAACTTATAACTATGCAGAAAATCGTACACAAAATTCGTAACGGCTCCATTTTGTTGACATACGTCCGCTTTAAAGCGAATGCATGACTGCATTGAGAGTGCATGGGCAATCACTCAACCTTGGCTAGCTGTTCTTAATGCTTTCCCAACACTATTATGTATTCTGTTTAAGTTAAAACATAGTTGGAAATTAATCTGGAGCTTGAAATGTCGTAACAATACGTGACTATGCCTCTCTTGCGAAACTATACTGTATATAGTCGAAAGGAAAACTCGTGCAACTTCGGGTTACAACATTATGTTACGGTCATAAGGTCGTTAGCCGCTTTAGGATTAATGCTTTTTGGAAGTGGGCTGAAGAAAGAAAATAAATATATTCGTTTCGAAAGTTGTCTGTTACTATCGTTATGTTACTCGCGACTGTAACATTATATAACCTGCAAAGGCAGCAAAGCTACTGACAAATATTAGTTATGTTTAGTTAGTGAAGCCTTAGGCTTTAATATGACGATCCCTTATCATAACACATAACTGACTATGTGGATTCAACTGAAATTCTATCCCGATTCACAGGCACTAATATCAATGCCCTTATCGCGGGCCTATTTTGTATGTACTATACTCTATATAGTTTATATTTAATTGATGGTATATCGGCGGTATCGCGCTTATTTTGTTGCGCTTTTTTATACGTATATTAATATATAATACTGTATATTCGCTTGTACTGTATATAAGTACATTTATACTTAATTGCAATACACAAACTCGTAAAAATACATATTAAAACCGTATTATTAGTTAGCATCCATAATATTTGTAGTACGACAATAGCCATAATAAACGCTAAGCTTGTATAGTATATATACACACCTATATATAGGAATACATGAAAAATACAAATAACACTAAAAAAGGCTACTTACCGTTATTCGTGAGGTGTTACACGATATATAAAATATTGCTGCTTCGTTTGACAAAGACACATATGTGTTGTGATATAGTTTGCTCACACCGACGACCCGGCGAGCTGTCGTGCCTATTTACCAGCCTCGTACCCAGGCGCAAATAACGTACTAAAAAAACAGCAACACTACAGTTTTTTTATATAGATCAGTGGCTGAGCGAGCGCGCGGGGGTGCTTGGGGAGGACTTGGGAAGCGAGGCGCCTGGCAGAATTTGTAACAAACATGGCGGACATGAGAATGCAAAGAAGGAAATTGCTGTACTATATAAATGAAATTGAAAGGCTTGCCTAACGAGCGGTACATTTGGGAAAGATTTTATGTCCAAATTATCACTGCGTTGATAATAAGGATTTTTCCTCGAAAACGGTATTTTAATTAAAGGTCTCCTCAGGAGACCAGCCTCTCGAAATTAGAAAGTCTGCTGGTCATGAGAGAACTCGAGATTATTGAACATTCTAAAAAAAATAACGATTTATTTCAATTGGTTGAAAATATATGTCTGGTGTTGGATGCACATCATGAAATATACTGCCTTTTTGCAGTTTGAAAGAGAAACTGACCAAGCAAAGTCAAAGAAACTGTCTTATTCTTGAATCTTTTAATTTTAATATAAATATTTTAATAATACATTGAATTTATATGGAATGTTGAAATTACTATTTATTTGTACTGATGATACCTTTTACCTCAGAGGAGAAAATTTATAACTAGAAAATATTTTATTGTAGGTTTCTTAGTTTCTAAAATTTTACCAATAAAAAGGCCTATATTAAACATGCATGACTGCTTTATAGTATGCAAAATATCAGTGAATATATGAACATTTAATAAATTTAATAATATAAAACCTGTTTTGGCCATTTAGCTATTGTTGTAACTGGCTGACAGTAAGTTTAAAGGCTAAAGCACAAACTAACCCAGTGTTTTATACTTTGATGTGTATTTTGTTCTTCACCTTGCATTTGACCTATAAAGGCTATTGCCCTTGATTGCCAAAATCTACCATGTTTACACTAAGGAGTGGGGTAGACTCTGGACTTACCTGTGGCCACATATAATGCATTTGACACCTAGTTACAGGACAGTGTCTAAAAAACTGGACAATTGGGCTGATTTCAGATGCATGTTAATAATCAACGATATTTGAAAAATATGTGGCAAACATCATCTGATGGTCTCACTGAAAATATGTGTCAACATTAAATATACACACATTACATGATTTACCCTGTTGTCATGGAAATTGGTCTCGGGATTAAACAATCCAAACATGTATATACTACAGGGTTAGCCACCCCAAATTCTTCACCTGAAACCATTTCAGGTCACTCAGGGTAGGTCCCAGTAAAGTGCTTGGACAACAACAAGACCTATCCCAGTTGTTTCTGTGCTTGTTCCTAAATCCTGTATATGGTCATTGGTTCAGCCAAGTTAGAACGGGCATATGTTTTACACAACTTGACTGAATGAGATATACCTCATCAACATGCTATGCAAACAACAACCCCTGTAACATTTAAAGTCTTGAGAATTTTATTTATTTTGCTCATAACATAAAGCACTAGTATTTACATTCAACGGAATCTAGCTAGAACTAGCAATATTTATGCAAATTTAATACTCTTGTGGGTTTTTATTTATAGACCCATGCACTCACCCACAGCTGAACTTCTCAACAAGCTAGGTACATTGGCACAAATTAACAGCTTAGCCCATCAAGTTCCACTGCACCCTACTGGCGCTATGGTGGCGTGCTGATTGTGCCACCGACTTTGGTAGTGCAATTGTCAGAGCGAGGACTTTTTACATCTGAGATTGTTGGTTCAATTCTCACCACTTCAACGACACTTAAATGTGAAAAGAGTCATGCTGTCAACACTCTGACAAAAGTTGTGGGTTTTCTCCGGGAACTCCAGTTTTCTATAGAGGGAATGTTGACGGGTGGCTTGGGATTAGCCTCTAACTCACCCTCCATAAGGTGGCTGCCAGAGGCACCCTCAGATAAGTCTTTTACTCAATCAAATTGTGCTATGTTGAACTGTACCAGCTACAGAGAAAATATACATTTCATGGGTTGCAAATATAATATTATATCTATATTCATATCACATGTAGTTGAAAATCTTTTGGAATTCAAGAACATCAGTGACAAATGTCAAACTGCATACAATACACTGAAAAACAAAAATATTCAAATCACTTCATGGCAAATTTAATATACATGTATCAAGCAGTAGTCATAGTAGTGACAGCACTACTGGGTTCTGTATCAATTCAGTGATTGTTTGCTGAAAATAAACTATTCAAGTATTTACAACTTTTAGAATTGTATAGTATATTAAATTAGTATAAAGACATTTGATCAGCAAATCTCTTTGGCTGGAACTCGACATGGGCTTTTGATTCTGGTGTTAAATTATTAAAGGTGCATCCCTGGTTGAAATTATTCTTTCTCCTTTTGTGGGCAGCTTACAAATTCTTTTAAAATATGAAACCTGTCCTATTTCTTGTAGTCATCTTGACCAAGATTTAATGACAATGATGCACACATAATATACAGAGAATAATGAAATCTCAAGGCAAACCAATACAAACACTCACCTCTAACACTCATTTCTTGATAATTCCTTCAGCGATTGTTCCAGGTCACCCATAAGCACATATAAATATAATATTCAGCACCAAAAACGCCAAAAATAATTAAAAGGCACGAGTAAAAAGCTGAATGGTTCGATTCTTCAGATATCGTATTTCTGAAGAATCATATTTACATTTTCTGCCAGGCGCAGCAGAATCCCGTCGTGTGTTGACCTAGCACCCCCGCGCGCTCGCTCTCTTAGCCACTGATCTATATAAAAACACTGTAGTGTTGCTAATTTTTAGTACGTTATTTGCGCCTGGGTACGAGGCTGACAGCAAACTATATACTTGATGCCGATCTTATCTAATTTTTAATATTCAATCATCTATACCGGATAGTAACAAGAAAGCAATAGTAGAAATAGAACAACTGAACAAATACGATCTAAATATATATATAAAGGCTATATATGCATTTTGAAGATTGTCTTGGACAATCCTTTTTAGCGGCTTTCCTCCAACTGAAAGTGGAGACAGATTAGAGGCTATAGTTGAACATTTGTGCTATGACAATGTTTAGTTGGCAAATGCATCGTAATGCCAATATGGATGTCAATAATCTTGTATTAAAATGGTAATTGTAAATAAGAATTCTAAAATTGTGTTTTGAGTAATTGTGTTGGCTCGTAATTGATACCGAATAGCGTGGAAAACAATAGGCTAGCGTGGAAAAAAATAGCGTGGTTGGCACAAGAGTCATTTGGCTGTCAAACCTAATTTGTTCAGTTTGCTTCGAATAGCAAATAAATCCGAATTTTTCAAGCCCTATAGTCTATACGCCTATAGGTAATATTAAATTTCTGTCGTATTTCTCACTAAAATGTCGTACAAGTGCGCGTTAATTATGTAAGTGGCAAAAACTTTAATTATTAATAATTTTGTTCCTATTAAATTCGCGTATACTGTACATGTAAACAGTTTTCACCTGACCATTATAAGTCTTTGACCCGCGGTCTTTGTGTATCATATATGTGTTTGTATATGTGCAGCATATACTGTAAATATTTAATTATTTTTGACGAAGGCAAAGATGGATTTCCATAAAATCTATTCAGGGCAAAATCTCGATCGCGCGATCAACCTTTTTCGATCGCTTTACGACTATGTCTATCTATAGCCAGGCTTCTATATAGTCTTTCCTCTATGGACTATAGGCGCAGCACATATATGTCATATTATAGGTCGGCAACAGTTCTAACAATTAATTAATTGACGAAGACATATTGCAAGACCTTTCAAGGCTATAGCTATAGCTTCTACCCAAATAATTAGACAATTCTAGACTTTTATAGTTCGCCAGATCTAACGAAGACATTGGAAGACCTTTCAAGACTTTTACTCAAGACAATTCTAGACTTTTCAAAGTCAAACGAGATGTAAAAGTCTTGCAAGACTTTTGAAAGACAATTTTACTTCCGCAATTGTCTAGCAAAGGTCTAGAATAGGTCTTGTAGACCTATCAAAGACTTTTTCTAGACCTATTTAGATCTTTCATTTTCCTACGGGAAGACTCTCTACCAATCCCCGTTGACTCCGATAGCTCAATGGG